GATATAAGTACTGATCTATAACACGTAGAGATAGGGTTTGGGATTTGATATTAAGTATAGAATATCGAATTTATCAAAAAATAAGGGAAAAAAAGAAAGAACCAACTTGTGGGTGACTTTGGATAGTTCAAATTTCTCTTTGGCAATACATATGATGGTGCTAAAACTGATTGGTATTGAAGCTATATTACCCTGTTTTAGAGTTACGTTTGTTGGTGTGTCTGTGTGTATATCCATGACTGTTTCCTAATACATTTGTTCTGGATTTGGGTCATTTTGGTTGGCTAGTTTCTTTGAATTTTACCTGTCTTTTGGATTGCTTGATATGGGTTTTCATTTACCCTGCGATTGGTTGCTCAGAATATGGAGGAGAAGAGGATAAAGTGAAAAATTCGGACTGTCATGATTCTTGTTGTTCTGGGTTTTAGTAGAATGATATACTCAGTTTGTGGTCAACAATGAAGGGATAGACTTGTTGCAATTGAAGAATCACTTGTGGCTTGTGAAAGTGCCAATTGCAAATTTCATTGTTAAGATGTCTGTAATAGGTAATATAATTGACTCTAGGAGTGATTAGTTATTGATAAGCTAGTGCATAATTTGTGTACATGGATTCTCTTTTCCAAAACAGGTATCCCTTTGGTGCTCACTACCATTCTGAAAATTTTGGACCAGTAACAAGCTGTCTTTTTCATGGATTAGACCCAGACCAAATCTCGGTTGATTCAATTTTTAGTAGAGAAGCGAATGTCCATTCCTTATATATATATATATCACCTGTATGTATGTATATTGTTGGTGATTGAATTGGTGATGCAATAGAAGAAGATGAGAGAGATACTATTAGGATTTATTAAGAGAGAAAAAATGAGGTGAACATATATATATTGAAAGGATCTAGTTGTCCACTAACAAAATTTTCATTGGGTACTTTGGTCATTTTACGTGATACACGGTTAAAGAGTTCTTTTTAGTTATTCAAGGGATAAATAGGTATTAAAAAGGTGTCAGGTGATGGATCTTACCACTAGTTAATAGGAGGGGGTGGTTGTTAGAGTAATGCTATCAAGAGATACTTTTCATGAGAAGAGGTACGAGCTCTCCATATTTGACCACTAGATTAAGACTGTCTTTTTGAGATTTGTGAAAATCAAATAAATCATTTAATAAGTCTTTCAATCTAGTGGTTAAAAATGGAGAGATCACATCTCTTGTCATGAGAGAGCTCTCCTAATAGTATTCGTGATTGTTATTGAGAAGTCTTAAAATGTAACTTATAGCTCTGGTGCAGAATTAGCGCAGGGTCCATGATCTAGATAGGGGGGGGGGGGGGTTGGGGGGGTTGAATAGGCCTTGAATCACTGCAATTAATCTAAATCTACTTAATCCATTAAGCAATCGAACATTAACAATTAACATGTATATGAAAGCAATAATAAGGAAAAAAAAAAAAACACAATGGACACAAAAATTTAGGTAAATCACAATATTTTCTTATAACTTTCATGTTAACCAAACCATTTTTTCGATAACTAGGGTGCGGGGCTTTGCCCCGACTAATCCACGAGACCTGTGCAAAGCGACCCCTCCACAGTCGACATGAATCGAGCAAAGCTTGGACTATGTCCGCGGTCGTGACCCCAAAGGAATTGATCGCACTCGAGAGAATTCGTATTTGAGACTTAATGCTTCACGAGACACTAAGTCCTAGCGCTTCGACACTAGAGCCAACCCCTTGGGGTTTTAACTAAACAAAGGCCAAGTGTGAGATGTGAAAATCCGTGCCTCCTCAGAGAAAATTTATTACCTAACTATATTTTTCCTGGGAGTGCAACTTTAACGAGCTAGCCCGAAATAGTCTGAGCTTAACTAAATTTCTCATGAGCGTGGTAATTTTTTTATACTACTAGAATTGGGCTTGTGTTGAAAAGCTATAACCTGAGCTTTAATTTGGTTGGGCTTTAGTCGAGGTACCAATGACCTGAACCCAACCCAAATTTGAGTCTGACTTTTATATAATTATATTATTTTAAATATATTTATATATTTATAATCCCAATCATTTTTTTTCCAAGGGATCCTCTAGAGGAAATGGCTGTGGAGGTTTGGGGTGGAATCGTGGAAAGACATTGGCTTTGGAGGAGGGTCGTTGCGAGCAGGTATGGGGAGAGCAGAGGAGGGTGGGATTCTCTTGAGGTGCATGGTCCAAGGGGTGTGGGGGTTTGGATGTTTATTCGGAAGGGTTGGGATGACTTTTCTAAACATATTCATTTTCGACTTAGGGATGGCAGGAGGATCAGTTTTTGGGAGGATGTTTAGTGTGGGGACCTTTCTCTTGCTCTCGTTTTACCACGACTTTTCAGGATTGTTACGAATATGCAGGCTGTGGTGGTCAACTGTTATCATCTTGATAGCGGAAGACTGGTTTGGGATGTTCGATTAAAGCGTCTTTTTCAGGGCTGGGAGATTGAGGATGCCACTCATCTTTTGGAGTGTTATATCGTTAGGGAGTAATGGTTGGGGATTCTGATAGTTGGATTTGGGCTTCCAACGCTCAGGGTCGTTTCGATGTTCGGTCCTTCTTTAGGTGTCTTACTGAAGAGTCTGGAGGTCTTTTCTCGTGGAAGTTTGTTTCGCACTCAAAGGCTCCCCTCAAGGTGGCCTTCTTTGCTTGGACCACTGTTTTGGGAAAGATATTAATCCTGGATAATTTGAGAAGGAGAAATTAGGTGGTGGTTAATCGTTGTTACATGTGCCTTCATGATGAGGAGAAAGTGGATCATCTTCTTTTACATTGCACCATGGCCAGGGAGTGTTGGGACTTGATGCTTGGTCTGTTTGGGATTCTCTGGGTTATGCCTGGATCCTCTAGAGGGTGATTGAGGCTTGGAGAGGTTGTTCTGTGGGAGCTCATATTCAGGATGCTTGGAGGGCTACGCCTCTTTGTGTGTGGTGGTGTATTTGGCTCAAGAGGAATAGGAGATATTTCGATGGAAAGGAGATGCCTATTTCTTTTCTTAAATTCTCTATTCTTTCTACTCTTTTTTGTTGGGTTTCAGGAAGAGATTATAGATCTTTAGAGGAGATTGTCGATTTTTTGGCCTCCTTGAAGGCTTAGAGGTTCTTTTTGACCTTATGTAGTTCTCTTGGGATGCGCTTCCCTTTTGAGCGCTTTTTATACATCTTTACTTATAAAAAAAAAAAATTCCAACTTATTATTATTATTATTTTTTAAATAAAGCTTGATTTATTGTATATTAATTTTTTGAGAAATGGTTTATAAAGTCTTATATATTAATATTCTGTTTTCAAAATCTTTTATGTGCAGAGTAACCTAACTCAAAATAAACCCATTTTCAACTAGATCGTCATAATTCAAGCTCAACCTAAGTTCAATTTGAAAAACAAATAAGTCCTATCAATTTTCATAAGACCAAATATGTCCTACTTTTGAAATTTTCTTCCATTTAAGCTCAAAACCACTAAATCTTACATTAACGTCCTAACCAAATAGAAGTAAAATTATGCAATTATAATATTCAAAACTTTATATATATTCTTTTTTGTCCTTTTCATATTCCTTTAAGCTTTAGTTAATTAGTGAACAATGCATTATGAATTTAATTATAACTAATTTAATATAGGTTCAATCGGAAAAATCTGGTGTAGAATTCATGACGACTTTAATACAAAACAATTTAAAATTCTATATCATTTTTTTAGTTAAAAATTATATCTAATCGGTATGATTTGGTAAGGGTGTAAACGAATTTCAATAAAAATAATTTCAAAAGTAGGATTTATTGGTCTTATTGAGAATTCAAAGTACTTAATTGTCTTTTGAAGCATAAAGTAAGAATCAGTGGTAATTTTCCCTTGAAAATTTTATAGCTTGAGTTGAGTCCGAATTTATCCCTTATTCTGATTAATTTGTCCAAGTTTGCACCCTTAATTTTTGTTGAAACTTTTCCTTTTGACTTGCGTGCATTATAATTAGTGTTCTCAAACTACACCTCAAGACAGTTTTTTCGTGTTATATATATGTGCGCGCAGTATAATTAGTGTTCTCAAACTACACCTCAAGATAGTTTTTTCTGTTATATATGTGTCCACAATATACCTATTGTATTTAGGCTATTATTTATACATGTATAATTAGCTATCAAAGACTTATAACGTCAAATGATTAATACATTCTGCGGGTCAAAAGTAATAAAAAAAAGTTTTTATTTTTTTAGATTTTGTAGATAGATTAAGCCTATAGTTATAGTTGTTGCCTTTGGTGTCTTGTGTATTTTTTTGGGAGCGCTCCCCTCTTGAGTAGTGGTGGCAATTTCCTCCGACCCGGCGGGTTTTCGCCCCGCCCCTAATGGGGTGAATTTGGTAGCCCCTTAGATGGATTTGGGACGGGCATGGTAAAATAATTAAAAACCCGAAGTGGGTTTGGGGCTGGGGCGGATTTAGTGATGAACCGGCTCCCGCCCCCGATTATATATGTACCTTTAAAAAAATTATATATATTCTCCCAATGTGTTAAAAAAATTAATAATATTGGACCAATTTATTTATTAGTCCAATTTTAACACATTGGGCTAGATTTTTTTTTTTTACTAAATAATAAAAGTGGCATAATCCGCCCCCGCCCCCACCCCCACCATGCAATTAAATGGAGTACGCAGGCCAGAGTCTATACTTTGTCTGTCGGAGTAGAGGCGGAGATGGCATACAAATTATAAACCCTTTCCGGAGTAGGGGAGTAGGAATGGAGTTGATATGACGAATTTTCTAACAAGGCGGAACAAGGTTTAGCCAACTCCGCCCCATTGTCATCCTACTCTTGAGGGCCTTTTATGAAATTTTACTTATCAAAAATAAAAATAAAATAAAGACTTTGTTCTTTATATAAAAGAAAATGTGATAACGACAGAACTCTCACTAGCTCCCTCATCAAAATAACATTATATATAATAAAATCTATGTGGATTTTCTTTGATGGTCTTTCGAATGGCCTTAGTTTCACACTTGCAATCTGAAAGTGAGTTACAACATACGCGCGCGTGTGTCTATAATTGCTGATATTGAGTTTTATTCAGTGAAGTGATCTGTGTGAATGCCCTTGTTTTCACTCAAAACACATAGCTGAGGAAGAAGCCACCTGATCAACCTCTCAGCTTCTGCACACTTTATTCAGGTAGCGTCTATCTATCTATCTATCTATCTATCTATCTTGAGAATTCCATGTTCTCTTGAGAAAGAGAAAAAAAATTGTCTGTTTTTTTCCTTAGGCTGTGGATTTAATGATGCTATATCTTGTGATGTTACGAGAAAATAAGAGTAGAGACATGGTAATATATAGCATTATTTATGCTTTAATGTTGTTATTGAAAGCTTTTTTGATAAAATTTAGTGAACTACGTTACTTTGTGGGTATATAGATATTGATTTTTATCATTAGATGAAATGTAGTATAAAATCCTTTTTATACATTTATCTCAGGATGATTTTGATGGATGATACAAATCCTTCTTTGTACATTTGATCCAAATATTGGATTTGAAATCTCCTTTCCATAAATATTAACATATTTTGAACTCCATGAATTTCAAATCCATTCTCAAATCCAAATCCATGTTCCTAAACACAACATTAGAGATTTGATACGAAGATTTGTAAATCTGGCATGTAGAATGATTGTCAATACTCTTGTGAAGTTTGAAATTGATGAAAAACCTATCGGGAAGAATTAGAATATGATAAATTCGATAATTGAAATTCTAATCAGCGGATTTGTGAAGGCCCAATTCTCTTTCAGGAAAATGATTTGTGTTCCTCAGAGTTTGCTGCCCAATAACTCCATTGGGACTTGATATGGGATTTCTTTGGCTACAATCTACTCGTTTGACACTATGCTGATATTATAAGAGCATTTTTTTTTTGTTTGTTTAAAAGGACTATATAACAAGTTATGTTCCTGGATATATGTAGATATATTTATATTCACTTTCAATACAATTTCTTTTCAGAACTATGTGCAACATTCTATCAAGTTTGTGTCTCACATATCATTTGGAGTTACAAATGCATCATCCGTAATTGGGTCATTATGATGGTTTACAATTACTCTTTCTGAATCAACGGGAATCGATTTTCAATTTCTTACATCAGTCTTATTGTTCCTTCCACTGATATGGAGAACACCAAAGACCTGTTCATTTTCCATGGGGGTGTTTTAAGTGTATATGCTAATCTATAATATTCTATTACCTTGGTTTTTCTTTTTCCTTATGCCCTTCTTCTTCTTTTAATTATTTCTTGTACACTTATTCTTAAGATATGTGGTTTCATTTTTCACTGAATACAGACTAAAATTCTTCCTCAATTGTTCCCTTTTCCTTTATCTATTATCTATGTTCTTGTTTCATTTTTTTTCTTCCTTCAATCTCTTTAATCTCAAAAAGATACTTGATGGACCTTTTTCCTTAGACTTAATAAAAAAGCACTGAAGTCAGCTCTTTCCATCAACAGCAGTTGCATGGATTGGGTTGCCAAACTCCGTGATAGCAAATTCTTCTGTGGAACAATTGAATTTAGTTTCTGTTACACATTGTTTTAGTAATTATTACTGCCTTGAATACATTTGCCTGGACTTTTCTGTTATAGACAGAATTTTATTTACCTTTACATTCTTGTTGATTTAATTGAAGGTGGTGATGGACTGTCAACTTCTTTCTTCTAACTGGAGCAAGTGCTTATGTAAATCGTACCAGACTTGTCATTTTCAAATATTTGGTGTCCAGAAATATTTACGTCATCAGTCTTATTGTTTGCGTTCAGGTATATCTTTTACGCACTTCAGCTGTGACATTTGACAACCTTTTGATGTTTCATGAAGAATTATGTAGCAAATATATGGAAATGGAGTGTCAAAGAGGATTTTTGGTTTATATTTGTTGTTTATTGCAGTTTTAATTAAAAGATCACCGACCTTCAAAAAACTCCATGCATAAATGGTAATTATATTTCACAATTTTGAGGAAGTCACTTAAAAATGGTTGCTCGTTTTGGATTTTGTTTAACGCTAAATGTTTCCGGTTCATGGTCCACCACATTTTTGTTTTTGTGTCTTACATTTAGGTTCTAATAATCAAATATACTCTTAAATTTATCATTTTTTTTTAGATTTAAGAACATAGATGGAAGAAACAATGACCCCAAGTGTAATGGGGTTCTGTTAATGTGACCTTTGTATGCAACAAATAAAATCCACTGAGCTGCATCTTTTTACACGAGTTATGTTTTTTGGTTTAATGCACCAATCTTTTAAGTGAGAGGGCGTTATAATGCTGGTTGACACGAGCTTTCTATTTTATAGCCATTATTGGCCCAACAAGATACGACACTCTTTCTCGGTGGCGCATCACCTTCCACAATATCAACTGCTTCTTCAATGAAATAAGTCCCAAAATGCCTCTCGTGAATTTTATTATTGGTGGTGTTCAACATGATAGTTTTATGGAGGGGAATAAGGCTCCATCTTCAAATCATGTTCATAAATATTTCCCCTGAAATGCACTCTTGCAACTATTACCATTAATAACCATGGTAAAAAGCTCTCCAGTACACATTACACTGAAAGACACTGTACATAAAAATGCCCAAACTAAATCTAGCATTGTATATCAATTCTTGTGTTACAGAGTTGCTGAGTTGGTTGTTTTTAGTAGCACCACAGTTACCACCGTATGACTTCTCAACAGCCCTTTACCAAAATTAGCAACTTCCTTCTTCCTTAAGAGCTATTTCTTATCAGCACCTTCTTGGAAGACTTCGTAAACTCCTTTTCTCCTATATTCTGGCTAATTGACTAGCATAATGAATCATGCATGTCATATTTGCTGCGAGTCTAGAATTATTAATGGTTATTAGTGGCTTTACCTCCATGTCTATGCTTAGTCATTCTAACATCCTCATTCCTATCAAAAGTAGAACCGTTGGCTAGGTGGAGAGCATACTCTTCAATAGTCATGCTGTCTCTCCTTACTTGAATACGTTGCAAATAAAATTAATAATTTATTGAAAAATAAAATTCAACTAACTTTTTCTGGTAGATAGCTAGCTGGAAGAAAGTGGCAAATTATGGCTTGCTACATCTCCTCCAAAATCCTATTTACACCCAAACAGATACTTTTTTCATTTTCTCTGTTTTGCTCACTCCTTTTTGAGTTTGCTTCCTTTAGTCTTGGCAATATCACTTTTCAATTTTTGTCACGTAGAAGTAATTAAGTGACAAGCACCAAAGAGGGTACAACCTGTACATATAAACACAATGAAAAAAACCTATATAAATATATATAAACACAAGACTTATAAAATATATATATATATATATATATATAAACAATGGAAATTAAAATCTATATCGCTGCATTCTCAGCTCCACCAGAATCAACTAAAGAATTTGCCAAATTTGGAGACCTATTTGTTAGGCAAAGATATAGGGAGCTTTACATTATATGTTTTTAAAATCTGTAAAGACAAATTTTAAACAGTAGTTAGAAGATTTGTAACAATCTCGCCATTGGCATGAGATAACCACTACTAACTAATTTGTGCTTAAGATTTGCAAGGACAAATGCTAAACAGGAACTTAATCCAATTACAAGGGTCTGTTTGGCAACCGCTTTTGCTTCGTGTTTTTTTGCTCCTGTAGCGAAGCAAAAGTACGAAGCGTGTTTGGTAACATTTGCTGCGATTTGAATAGTACACTTCTGAAAAAGAGGCCAAAAGCGGAAGTACCAAATTGATGCTTCTGGTTGTTTCCGTGCTGTAGCAAACTGCAAAAGCACTGTTTGCCAAAAAAAACTCTAAAATGACATTTTTAAGTAGCCATTTAAATTTTCAAACTTGCAACACTTTTTTACCAAACATGTTTTCATATTTTTGCTTCCAAAAATCTTGCAACAAATATACATTATCAAACAGGCTTACAGATATTATTGAACACACTTCAAAGTAGAAACATTGCTTTTGCTTTGGGTCAAAGCAAAAGCACAAAGCAACTGTGGTTGCCAAACGGGCCCTAAGCTTTCAAACTTTTACTATGGGAAGTATATAACTAATATCCTACCAGGCTTTCCCAATACCTTAATTTCTTTGCATTCTAGTTCCAAGTTTGAGTTATAACTAAAATAAAAAATAACATGAGATACTTCTTACCAAATCTTAAAACTGTTATTTAGTAATGAGCATACCATGGGCTCCATGCTGTGAGGAATCCTTCCTTTTCCTTTTTATCGATGATATCCTGCTCTGTTGTGCTCTTCTACCATCATTTGTTATTAATTTGCATTCCTTGGGAATAAGGATTGCAGTAGGTGGAGAAAGAGAAAGAACCTAGTCAGTTGACATGATTTTTTTATAGTTGTGTCTAATATTTGAAGTGCCTGACTCAAGCTACAATTCTTGTATAGTCTTTGACTCGCTATGGTTTGGGCTGAGTAATAATTAATATATATGCATTTATGATACTTATTTGAAGTATTCTGCATTACGTCTTTGACATCTAAATGTTTTGTATGTAAAGAAAAATGTAATATATGTCAATGCCTTTTCTTCTTTTTATATTGTAATTGACTGTTGTTGCAGGATCTCTTCATAATGCTATAAGATGTTCAATGAAGTCCTATAGGCTATCAGAGCTTACTCAGGCTGAGGTTCATAACCTCAAGGCTCGTCCTCGTATTGATTTCTCTTCCATTTTCAATATAGTAAGCCTTTATTTAGTTCATCAAATCAAACTCTGTATTTTTTTTTTTTTTCTCTCTCTCTCTCTCTCTCTCTCTCTGTGTTTATTAAGCATTTGGTGAATTTGTGTGTGATGGTATATAAGGTTCACCCAATTGTTGAGGATGTCCGAGGTAGAGGCGATGCTGCTGTTAAAGAGTAGGTGCTTCTTTGTTTTTTATTTTGTAATATTTTGTCTTGCACTCTTTGTTATTAATGAAGTCTTTTTGGAATTGTAATTATTTTTCTCCACTCTCAGCTCCTCTAATAGTGATTCTTCTTCTGAGATGCCATTATATTTCTTTGGCAGTTTTACTGCACGATTTGACAAAGTTGAACTAGACAAGATAGTTGAAAATGTCAGCGAACTTCCAGATCCAGAGGTATTCTATTTATCTAATTTTGGAATTTCCTTTCATATATGAATCCATATCCTCTTGGTAAGAAGTTTTCTTAAACTTCAGGTTGTGTCATTTGTATATTACTACCTCCGTCCCACTTTAAATGTCGGTTTCGGGAACCGTGACTCTGAGTCACGGTTCCCGAAACCGACATTTAAAGTGGGACAGAGGGAGTACATTTGTTGAAGAATAAAGTCTGACTGCAACTGAAAGCTTCATTGAGTGCAATTTGCTAATTCTTATGTTAGACATTTTCTCGTCTGTTTCATAAAATTAGCTTGATGCAGCTGTTAGAGAAGCATTTGACGTAGCATACAACAACATCTATGCATTTCACGCTGCGCAAAGATCAGCTGAGAGAACCATTGAGAACATGAAAGTAAGCAATATAGCATTGAAGCATTCTTGTGTTGTTGAACCTTGTAGCTCATTTTGGTTTTATTCCCTGCCAGGGTGTTAGATGCAAACGAGTGGCACGGAGCATTACCTCTGTAGGTCTTTACGTTCCTGGTGGAACTGCAGTTTTACCTTCAACGGCTCTGATGCTCGCAGTCGTATGTTATTGAATTTACTGGATGAATTGCTTTTGCTTGTTCATCAAATTATGATCTTTATATTGATTGCTGATCTCTAGGTCATCAGTATGACATTTATTCTATTCTGTACACCAGCCTGCGCAAATTGCTGGGTGTAAAACTGTTGTTGTTGCAACTCCCCCAGCTCAGGATGGAAGCATCTGCAAGGTATTTATTTTAATATTGATGAGGTATCTTGTTATGTTACTTATCAAGAGTTAATACGTGCTTTTATTTAGGAGGTACTTTATTGTGCTAAGAAAGCTGGTGTGACTCACATTCTCAAAGCTGGAGGAGCTCAGGTTGTAAATTATCAAATATTGGTCCATCTATTTTGCGCATATGTGACACACCTATCATATATTTGCTCTCATGTTCAAGTTTGAATTATACATGTCAAGTTTTCTGACTTTTTTATAACCTTTGCAGGCCATTTCTGCAATGGCTTGGGGGACTGCGTCATGCCCCAAGGTACCGATTTCCACAGTGTATCTCTCAAATATTACTGTTAACATAAACCAAAATTCATTCTTTGATCAGTCACTTAGGTGTATGCGATTGTGTATCCAAACAACAATCTGAGGCCTTTTATGCCTTTCTGTTCTGAATTCTGAAAGCAGCTTTGTGTTTGAATATGAAAAGCTTTCCACTGATAATATAATGCATTTGAGTGTCTGCTACCAGTAGCTGGACTTCCTCATGTTGTTCTTCCCTTTTAAGTTGTAACCTTGATGATGTATGCACTAATAAGACGCAGGTTGGATTGGGAATTATCTTGATCATCACACTGTTACATGTATACTTTACATGCCATTATAGTAACTCATATATATCCCCTTAATGGAATTATTCCATTTCTTACTCTGATAAAAATGACAAAGGGGAGAGGGAGGGAGAGAGAGAGAGAGAGAGAGAGAGAGAGAGAGAGAGAGAGAGAGAGAGAGATGCATATTTTTGTTTCATGATTTTGTCATATTGTCAGTATCTTGTGGGATTCATCATTCTATTGTAAGAGCCAGAAATCAAGAATTTAATGGCAACTATTAGGGGTTAACCTCATGGATAATTATTAAGATCTGTAATCAACTGCTTCTGGTCTTCAGCTTGACCTCAATCTGATGTATTTCGTGGCAGTAAAGAACCTATCATGAACTTTTATTTATTTGTATCAATTGGTGGGAAGGGACAATTGGCAAATTGGAAATGCAGTTTAATTCCATGCAACTAAGGAGTAAACTTATACAGAGAGTAGAATTCATTTTTCTAGGAATGTAGAATTTCTAAAGCTATTAGCTTTCACTATGAGCGAGTGAAAGAGGAATTGAGGTGGATCCAGCTAAGGTGAAAGCCATTCTGAATCTATGTTGTCATCTTGTAACATCAAAGAGCTGCGTAGTCTGTGGGACCGTCTCCACCCTTTGATCTCGGAAGCTAGAACTCAATGTCAATGCTTTTCCTGTCAAGATGGGAACTTTGTTTGGATGGCAAAGCACAGAGGGTTGGAAGTACGTTATGGCCATCTTCTTCTTCTTTCGCATGTATCTTTAGGTTATTAATAATCAAGGTTTGATGAAATGTTTGTAACTGAAATTGCCTAAATATGAGTCAAATAATCCATTCTATGGAAGGAAAATTATAAGGGGTTATGAGTTCTATCCATTTTTAATATTATGATATCAAATGTTAAGCATTGTCTTACAAGGTTCATGCTTAAGCCATTGTCTGTAGCCTCGTCGTTTGATTGTCTCTCTTTTTTGTTTCCTCCTTAAAACTTGAGTTAATTTTTCATTATCCCCAAAGGTTTTATCGGAGATATATTTCTCTTCATCTCCTTCGAACAAGTTATGGAACAAAATTCATTATGCAAGATTTTCACAAGGGAACTAAGATTAATTGCATGGAACAACGAAAAAGAATTTTGAAAGAATTGTTCGAGTATACATTATATGTTGTATCCATTATACCCACAAACCCCCCCCCCCCCCCCCCCCCCCCCCCCCCCCTCCTTTAAGGGACTAATTTAGAGATGCGGGGATCTTTTTATGAGAACTAAACATCTTAAGAAGTCGGCCTGCCTGCATACTAGCACTTGGGCCTTTCTGCATCCTGAATTGTCAATTTGAGCTTTAAATCTGTTGTACTTCTTTTTTTTTCCTGTTATTTAATGTTTTCTTTGTTGGTCAGTCATATGAGTTCTAATTAGGGATAATTTTGTCATTGTACTTATATTTTAAAAGGCACATGATTTTCAATTAGTCACTTCAATTTTATTATTTATTATTTATTATTTATTTTTTATTATTATTATTATTATTTTTTTTTATGGACATTTTAGTGGCCCTTGGAGTAGTTTGAAATGAGTTAGGGTATTCCTAAAATATTATGAAGAAATCAGTAAAGTTTCTGAATAGCAATTTTTGTACAATTTTTAATGAAAACTCAGCCACATCAACCTTTTCGGAATTCATTTGCTGCAGTTAAAAACCAATTCATGGTCTCACTGGTAACTCATGTTTATACTTAAATTGTGTGTATATGTAGGCATTAATGTGGTTCTTCTTCTCCCTTTCCTATTTGGGAAGAGGTGGGTGACCCCCTAGGAAGTCCTCATGTTGCACCCCTTTTTGTCCCGTTTTGGATTTTATTTACCCAAAAAAAGGTGGGAAGTCCTCGTGTTGCACCCCTTTTTGTCCCATTTTGGATTTTATTTACTGAAAAAAAAGGGGTGGGTGGGAAGTGACACTTATTTTTCAGCATCAGCATGTTTAGATTTCTTGATAATGACCAAAGTTACGACTTTCTGATGGGCCAAAGTGGAAAATGTATAATCATGTTCTACAAAATCAGGCTCAAAGATGATGGAGGCATATATAAGTGTATATATTAATGTGAACAAGCTTTAGGGGTCTTTGTTTGGTATAATGGTTAAAGCTGTGGCTGCCAAGCACGAGAATGTCGGTTCTCATCTATAGCTACAATGTATAGATATTGCCAAAGGTTAGATTTTGTGTCCAGTCATCCTGACACAGATATTGGTGTGACCAACACTGGGTATCAGCTTTATGTTAATTCAGATAGACATGCTTCAGATATTCTAACTGTTGATGTAATCGATATCGTTCAATTAAAGGTGTACGGATCAATTTTGAAAATTTGAAACATGTAGTGTTTGAAAATCTCTGAATTGACTTTAAATCTAATTAAAGTCCTATCCTTCTTAGGTTATTCTATGTACCCATTAGTCATTACAAGTCCTCCGTGGCCAGTAAATGGTGTGTGTGTGTACATATATGTATGTTTTAATATGTAAAATTAAGCTTGAGAAACCCCAAGAAGTTCTACTCCAATCATACAGTTGACCATTTTGTCTTAATTGGCAAGTGTATACATTTCATTTGAAGTGTTACCAAGCACCTTGAATGTCTTGGTAAGTTTGCATGCTCTGAGGCTCACAGAATAACAATAGTATACATACACTAAATTAAAGTTTTTAATTTTTTCAGACAGAATAATTTGCTATTCTATAGGGGGTCAAAGGGATATAGTTTTTATTCATTACTCATAAGTGTTTTTGGTTCCTTCTACATTACAAGTTTATAATTCATGACTTTCTGTTACAAGTGATATTGTAATTATTTGCAGGTCGAGAAGATATTTGGTCCTGGAAATCAGTATGTCACAGCTGCTAAAATGATTCTCCAAGTATGATAGGTTTTCCATCTATATGACACTTCAATATTGTCATACTTCATATAAAAACTGCATTTCTATATTGGTTTTAGTTATTTCTCTTTATATTTTCTCAACAGAACAGTGAGGCTATGGTTTCCATTGACATGCCTGCGGGGCCATCAGAAGTTCTGGTTATTGCTGACAAACATGCCAATCCTATTCATATAGCTGCAGATTTGCTTTCCCAGGTGTTTAATAATATTTGATTTGAAAATGCTTTGATTTAGTTTTTGATGGATAATTTTTATAATTGAAGCTGTTGCTCCAAATTTTCTGCTTTTATAATGTCAAAAAAAAAAGCAGTTAGAAACACGAGGTGCATCTTTTCTGTGGATGCATAAAACTCTAGCCAGTTAATCCTGCTTGATGGAGGTTATAGTTACATGTGTTTTGACAAGTCTACTTATTTTTGGAAGTTTAATCTCAACTGAACAAGCTATCCCTATTTGTATGTGTAGATGCAAGAATTATGTTCTTTCTATTGATGGAAAGTTTTTCTCTTACACCAAACACTCTGCCCCCTCCTTGTTTCCTTTTCTCCTATTTATGCACTATTCTCATTTACCTAATAGTACTGTGTTTGGGCCTGCATTGTGTTTGGGCCTCAACGTTACACTGGCTGGGCTCTGTCCAGCTTGTTTTTGGATAGGTGGACTGGCTGGCCCAGTCCACTTTGGTTGTTTGACAGGTGTCGCTCTCTGGAAGCGGAGGGGAATGGAAAGGTTTTTCAAGGGTAATTTTGCCCTCTCAGTACGAGAGGCGTGACTTTGAGTGAAGTCGAGGTCTTTTGTTTTGAGTCTATGTAGTGAAGTTCTTTTTATCTATCTAAACAAAATTGGACTTTGGTAGATTAAATGGATTTTTATCTATGATGTAATTATTATTATTATTTTTAATTTATTGTGAGAGTACATCATGTCTGTAGACTCTATCCTAAGTTATTTTAGATGCTGGTCACACTAGAGTTGAGGACATAAAGATGTAATTGACTTGCTCTTTGAAATTCTGAACTTGGAAGATTGGATTTTCTTCTTTCCAATATTTCGCATTGAACTTTTTGGTTTGCATCTTGATAATACTTCAATTCTCATTGCTAGTGAATGTGTGGGAAGTCGTCAGATTTTGGATTTAGTTCTCATTGCTAGTGAATGTGTGGATTACCCGTTTAAGTAACGGAGTTCCGGGTGTTTTATGTAAGCTGGATATCGAGAAGGCGTATGACCATGTGAGTTGGAGCTTCCTCCTCTACTTATTGGAGAGGATGGGGTTTGGTGGCCGTTGGAGGAGATGGATTCTTTTATGCATTTCTAGTGCTCGGTTTTCTGTCCTTGTGAATGGAGCTCCGACGGGTTTTTTCTCTAGATCGAGGGGCTTAAGACAAGGGGATCCGCTTTCTCCATTCTTGTTCCTTTTTGTGACGGAGGCTCTTAGCAGATTGCTAAAGAGGGCTGTGGAGTTGGGTCTTTTGAGAGGTTTTTGGGTGGGCAGGGATGTTGCTAGTCAACTGGAGATTTCCCGTTTGATGTTTGCGGATGATACTTTAGTGCTTTGTGATGCTGATGCGTCCCAGTTGAGATATTTGAGATGCGTTTTGATTTGGTTCCAAGTTGTTTCTGGTCTTAAGGTGAATGTTGGCAAGAGCCTTCTTGTGCCTGTTGGGGATGTTTCTGAGATTGAGATGTTTGCTTAGATTCTTGGATGTTGCACTAGCTCTTTCCCTATTTCTTACTTAGGGTTGCCTTTGGGAGCCCCTTCGAGATGTGTGGGGAGCTGGGATCTGGTAGTGGATAGATTCGAGAGGAGGTTGGCGGGTTGGAAAAAGCAGTATCTTTATAAGGGGGGTCGGGTTACTCTGATTAAGAGCATCCTTTCTAACCTCCCCACTTATTTCATATCTCTTTTTTAGATTCCTTCCTTAGTGGCTGAGAGAATTGAGAGATTGCAGTGCAACTTTCTTTTTTTTGGGGGGGGGGGAGTATCAGTGGGAGCATGTGTGCCGTCCTATTCAATGGAGGCTTAGGGTTAAGGAGGTTGTTGCCTTTCAATAAGGCTCTCCTTGGTAAATGGCTCTGGAGGTTTGGGATTGAGAGGCATTGGCTTTGGAGGAGAGTTATCGCGTGCAAGTTTGGGGAAAGCAGTGGTGGGTGGTGCTCTCTTAAGATGCGTGGTCCTAGGGGGTGGTTTGGACTTACATTCGGAGGGGTTGGGATGACTTTTGCAAGCATGTTCGTTTTTGGATTAAGGATGGTAGGAGGATCAGATTTTGGGAGGATCTTTGGTGTGGGGAGCTTCCTCTTGCTCTCGCTTTCCCACAGCTCTACAGGATTGCTTCTCACCGACAGGCCATGGTGGTTGACTGTTATCACCTTGATAACGGGAGACTGACTTGGGATGTTCAGTTTAGGAGGCACTTTCAGGACTGTGAGATTGAGGATGTTTCTCGTTTTTTGGAGGTTCTGTATCGCCAGGTGATCACTGTTGGGGAGTCGGATTGTTGGCTCTGGGATCCTAACTCGCAGGGTCGTTTCGAGGTTAGGTCCTTTTTTAGGTGCCTTTCGGTTGGTTCCGGTGACCATTTCCCCTGGAAGTCTATTTGGCGTTCTAAGGCTCCCCTCAAGGTAGCCTTCTTTGCTTGGACTTCCGTCCTGGGTAAGATTTTAACCCAGAATAATTTGAAGAGGAGGAATCAGGTGGTGGTCAATCATTGTTATATGTGCTTGTGTGACGAGGAGACAGTTGATCACCTTCTTTTACATTGCAGCATGGCCAGGGACTGTTGGGATTTGATGCTTGGATTATTTGGGGTCCATTGGGTTATGCCATGTTCCTCTAGAGGGTTGATTGAGACTTGGAGAGGTGTCTCTTTTGGGGCTCTCATTCAGGATACTTGGAGGGTTACGCCTCTCTGTATCTGGTAGTGCATTTGGCTAAAGAGAAATAGGAGATATTTTGATGGAAAGAAGAAACCTATTTCTATGCTAAAGTTCTCTATTATTTCCACTCTTTTTTGTTGGGTCCCAGGGAGATTATAGATCTACAGAGGAGATTATTGTTTTTTTGGCCTCTTTGAAGGTCTAAGGCGCCCTTTGGCCCTTGTGTTTCTTTGGGTTCCGCTCCCCTGTTGAGCGTTTCAATAAAATCTTACTTATCAAAAATATATATATATATATTTCCATTATTTACTAAGAATAATTTCACAGAAAAACTTAGGTGGCTTACTGGATAGTTGATAGAAGAACCAAATGTGACATTCAGAACTGATCAGATGCATGTGACAAATTAAGAAGGATTTTATATAGTACAATGAATCGATGTATATAGTTCATTAAAATTCAAACTTTGTAAAAGTTCTCGTGTTTTTCAATTGGTCAATACACATTCTTAACAACTGTCTCAAAATCCTAAGAATAATTCAATTGGGTCAAATTTATCTCTTACCATAGTTCACGAATCCAGTGAATGATTCAGTTGTTTAGACATACCTCCTGATTGGTGGTACTTACAATGTTTGATAAAGATGAGATGCATTTCAAAACAAATTTCACTGTCATTTGACGTTATACACTTTCCGTTTCAAAATTCATATGGCTTAGATTTCGCATTGGATTAGTAAAGATTGCATGTATATCAAATAAATATTTTAGAAGACAATAGAACTTCTCATTCGGAATTGTATATGATAATAATAGGCTGAACTAGGTAGGAACTTAAATAGAAGTTAAACCATAAGAGTAGAACTTTCTTCAAATTATATCTCAAAGTGGAACTGTGATGTGATTTGTATGATTTATATGGTAAAAGATTTCAAAGGGAATTTCTATGGGGTATAGAGGAGAGGAGTTCAAGTATCATCTTGTTAATTGCGAGCAAGTTTGCAAACCTTTGAAATTAGGCGGTTTAGGCATTCGAAAGCTGGTCCCTTTTAATAGAGCTTTATTAGGAAAGTGGTTATAGAGATTCGGTAGGGAACGACATCGCCAGTGGAGAAGGGTTGTCTAGTGTCGTTTTGGGGAGGAAAGTGGGAGCTGGTCATCCCGTCCAGTCTATGTTATGGGAGGCGTTGGCGCGTGGAAATTCATTTGGAAGGGTTGGGATGTTTTTTCCTCACACATTAGATTCAAGGTTCGTGATGGTACGTATGTTCGATTATGGGAAGATTTATGGTATGCAGATCAGTTGTTGTCTCATTCCTTTCCTAGATTCTATAGTATTTCCGAAAATAAGCACACTTACGTAGTTGATTATTATCGGCTTGATAGCAGTGGGTTTACATGGGATGTGCGTTTTAGGCGTTCTTTTCAGGATTGGGAGATGGAAGAAGCGTGCATTTTTTTTGGATCTGTTGTATAAACAGAAGGATGTTGGCAGAGGTTGTGACGATATTTTGTGGCTCCCTTTAACCCATGGTAGATATGGTGTCCGATCCAGGTTCTTATGTTTGTCTAATTTCGTTGGTCACGATTTCCCAAGGAAGTCTATTTGGCGCTCTAAAGCTCCACTTAGAGTCGAATTCTTTGTATGGACTGCCACCTGGGGAAAGATTTTAACGTTGGATAATTTGAGAAAGAGGTAACACCATTGTTAACTGGTGTTGTCTGTGTAAAATAGACGGTGAGTCCGTGCATCACATTCTTATGCATCGTCTTGTGGCGTACGATTGTTGGAATCTCATTTTCAGCATTTTTGGGTAATGCCTAAGCACTCCATACAACTGATTAATGCATGGAGAAGATGCTCAGTCAAAGGTCATGCCCGTGATTATTGGAGGATAGTCCCACACTGTGTTTAGTGGTGTATATGGAGAGAGAGAGAAACAACAGAAATTTTGAAGGAAAGGAATCGTCTTTAGCAAATTTAAAAATTCATATTATTCGTTCTGTTTTCTGTTATGTAAGAGGAAGCGCTTGCTCCTCGATTGATGACTTATTTGATCTATTGGACTCTATCGGTCCTTAGGTCCATTTTTCGTTTTGTGTATTAGGGATGCGTTCCCCTTTTGAACACTTTTCTAATATATTTTTACTTATCAGAAAAAAAAAAAAAAAAAAAAAAAAAAATGAAGATTTCTCGCTGAATTGGAAGGGAAGTTAGACTGCAAACTGAATCTTAAAGAAATAGATTTGAAACCAAATTAGATGTATACACAAGCCCCCCTTTCATGATACCAAATCTGATATCAGCAACAACTAAAACAATAATATGTACATATTCAATTGGCATGTGGGTATGGCAATGGACAGTATTTAGAATCAAAGTTGCAAAGCAAATCCTAACTTGGAGATGAATTATGACTTTAAACCATGGAGAAATGTGTGTTTCAGAGTGGAAGTTGAGTTAAGAAGTAGAACAATTTCTGAACTTAGGAAACGTATATAGACAGTTACAAAATCAATAATTCAGATTCAGCAAGTCCATGCTCTCCCTCTCTCTTTAGTTCCTTCTCTATTTAGATTATTAAACAAACATGGTATATCCAGATGTCTTAGCTAATAGCTAGAGAATACGTCTCATGTACAATACACAGGTTGGTTTCACCGCCTCCACCAACTTCACTCGAGTCCCTACAGTTTCACAGAATTCTACTCTTGCCTAAAAAAAATGAAACTTGTTTGCATGTAATATCATTTAAATAGATGTCCTCATTATTCCTTGTTCTTTTTCCATTTATTTTAGAAATTATTTTAAATAAAAGAAGTATCCCCATTTGATATCAATAAAATTAGTAAAAGATCAAAATTCAAAAGAATGAATAGTCAACTCCTCTATTGAATAACAAAATTATCTTTTTATGCTCGATCATATTTTCCAACCAACTGCTAGATCTTTTATTAAGTTTTAAGAGCCTAAAAAAATTTCCACATAAAAAAAAGAGACTAAAACCAAAAGTCTGGCAAAATAAAGTCTTGATATAAATGGTATTGATTAGGTTAGGGCGGCAGCTTCACAGTCAAAGTTTCACATTCATCGATTGAAGGAGCTTTCTGAGGTCACAATTATCACTTAAATTGCATTCAATTGTCATTAGAAATTCCCAAGTGCTTGTGGGTGAGTTGGCCTAAGATATGCAAAGTCGATATTGCGTCCTTACATTATAATATGCTAAATGGTGAAGAAATTTTATTTATTTGACCCTTATCTAAATTGATCTAGTATATTCAATGATCTAAGAATGAATAATTCTATAATTTTGTCAAATAATAATCAATAAGCATTATGATTCAAAAGTAATGGAAAAGTTATAATTCATACTAAGGAACAGTAAGAGGAATTTCAGTTTTCTTATTGAGGGATTTGGAGTTGCTGCAGTGCAGAATCACACATCACAAGAGTTATCATGAGGGCTTCACTAGTTAAAACTTGAAGCACAAGTCTTTAAGTATAAGGCAGTGACCAGCCTTATCCTGTTTCAGCTTCTAGTGAAACATAGATTTTCGCGCATGATAGTAGAGGTTATCACATCTGTCTTGCTTGAGTGGTATCTCTGGACTCCATTAAGAGAGGATGTAGGTTTTGAAGTCCTAGTGCCGATATGGCTGTGTATGATACGTGCAACCCCCTGGCACTTGCACGATCGCTCTCACACAATTCTTCCTTTTTTAAAAAAAAAAAAAAGGAGGAGGGAAAATCCCCCCTGCACGCGGGTGCACTCATAGACACACACATACAAAGCAAAAAAGAAAAGAGAACAAAAGGATAATTTTAAGTAGCAGTTAATGCTGATTTATTTGCCATTGGTAGATTACAGAGTATGTGTTTATCGACAATGGTAACTTGTTTCGAATAAAACTTGAAGCATAAGCATGTGGCCAAAGAATCTGGTATTTTTATTTTGTAAAGTTGCTAAACAGAAATGTGTTTGAATATCAAATTGCTTTATCTAATGCAACCAAAAAAAAAAAAAGGAATTGTCGAAATTGATTGCATATTTAGGTATATCTTGGTATAGGGACCATATGATAAAAGCTTGGAATATCAGGTAAGAGGATACAAATTTTGGGTACAAGGATAGCCAGTTTATGATAAAGTCAGGGGGTTAGATTGATATGCGGTTCAAAATTCAAACCAACCAACCCCCCGTCCCAAAAATTAAAGATAAATAAATGAAAAGGGAGCAAAAAACTGGGATTTCTTGGTCCACATTGGTAGTGGCCCAATTTAAGTATACCGTGATTTAGTATTAAAATTTCCACAATCAATTATTTCAACAGAATAGCAGAATCCCAAAAGTTTGTGCGTGTAAAGAATTCTCAGTAATCATATTACATGTGGTATATATATTACTGAAGTAGCGACTATCTCATAAAATATAAGAAAATTGGCACCTAAAATATACTCTGTAATTCCGAGTTTTAGGCCTCGAGGCTGTTTCCTTTTTTTCATATATCCTAAATAAACCTCCTCTAATCTCCATTTTTCTTGGTAATTGTACTTTTATCTTTGGTTAGGCTCTTCCTATGTGATGCACATGCATAAGAAAACAACTTGGTTCTCTGCTTGTATTCGACCTTTTCTCTGAAATAGTTAATTTATAATTGTCAGGCTGAGCATGGCCCTGATAGCCAGGTTGTTCTTGTGATTGTTGGGGATGGTGTGGATCTAGTAGCTATTGAGGAGGAAATCAGCACGCAATGCAAAAGCCTTCCAAGGGGCGAGTTTGCTTCAAAAGCGCTCAGCCACAGCTTTACTGTGTTTGCTCGTGATATGCTTGAGGTTAATCATCTTATTCTTGATTTGTCTTTGCTGCTTCAACTTGATGGTGTAAAACAGTTTTGTATGCATGCCTATAATCCCATTAATGTATTAAAACGCACACACGCACACACACAAAAAAGAATTCCTTCCTTTTAACTTTAGAAACGATTGCACTTTTATTCAATAACTTTTAAAATGCTTGAAAATTTTAAGGTTGGTAATTCCTTTTATCTAAATAATTAACAGGAAGTGGGAGGGTCCTGCCAAAATTTTATGGCTTTCTGTCTCTTTGGTAGGCATAAACATCTTTTGGGTGTGATGTGTGATCTCTGAAAATATATTGTTGACATATTCAGGAGCAATAGTTACTCGACCAGTTTTATTGTATTGATTAATTTGTTTATCGTTGGTGGGTAGCATCGGTGGTATTGGTGACAGTTCCTTGATTTTCGAGATATATCTGAAAATGAGTGTTTCTTTTTTACTTGGGATGTAATTTCTCTGATTTTCATAGTTTTGACTGATTTAAACACACACACACACACACACAAGCTTCCTGTGATTAGTTTCCAACAAAGCATCTCGTGTTTTTCTTTTTAGAATTTTTTAGCTATAATATGAATTTGCTAATCCTTCCATGGAAGTCTTTGGACTATGTTATATCGTGTAGTTTACTTTTCTAGTTTTTACCATAGTGGAGCATGATTTTATGTTCTATATTTTGTTATTGTATGTCTGCATATTATGTTCACTGTTGACAATGTACTTTTACATTCTTGTTCTCTTGCTTTTACTTCATTATGTTTCTTTATCTTTGTTGGAGAATAATTATATAAGTGATTTAAGCCCTTTATCTTTGTTGGAGAATAATTATATGAGTTGTTGCCATATTTGTATTTGACTCTCTATGTAATTCTTTTATTATATCTACAAGTCTTCCCCAATTCACCTATAAATAAAGGTGGTAATTGTAAACAAAATTAAGAGAGAATGTAATGAAAGAGATGTGGCCCTAGTGGCTGAACCTCATATATCCTTGTGTTCTTCTTGTTTTAATTTCTCTCTTCAACTTTTATTACCATGATATCAGAGCAGGTTTATAATATTCTATACTCTATACTCTACTAGTCTCGGATCTCTTGATCAACTCGTCTCAGATTTACTAGTCTCAGACTCTCGACAACTTCATATTTAATTTCAAGTTGGACACTTGAGTTAAATATTGTGTACCAACTTGAGGAGGGGTGTTGGATAATAATTATACGAGTGATTTAAGCCCTTAAATCACTCCTTGACAGAATGTTAAGTTGCTATACTTGGGCAACAAGTTGTTGTCATATATGTATTTGACTTTCTATGCAATTCCTTCTTTATGGCTACAAGTCTTTCCCAATTCACCTATAAATAGAGGTGGTTATTGTAAACAAAATTAAGAGAGAATGTAATGAAAGAGATGTAGCTCTTTGAGCTTTGTGTGTCGTGGATGTAAGTCCTAGTGGCTAAACCACATATATCCTTGCGTTCTTCTTGTTTTAATTTCTTTCTTCAACTTTTATTAACAATCTTTAATGTTCATTATATTATTCACGTAGTTGTGTCTCATTGCTTCTTGTGACTAAACTTGATAATTGGAATTTTCAGGCATTGTCCTTTTCAAATTTATATGCACCCGAGCATCTGATCATTAATGTAGAAGATGCAGAGAAGTGGGAGAGTTTCGTCGAGAATGCAGGTGTGGTGCTTGATGTTTTATTATTACAAATTGTCTTCTTATTTCCTTCTAAAAAACGGTGTTACTATCTTCATTTGAATTTTTGTTTTGTTTTATTTTGTTTCTCTTCTCTTTTTTCCTTTTTTTTTTTTTTGGGGGGGGGGGGGGGGGGGGGGTGGTAAAGTTTAAATAAGGCCCCATTCAGGAAAGGAAAAAAAAGTTCAAATAAGAAAACATTGTACACATATACAAGGGGCATACCCCTGGGGTTGTACGAGTAATGGCTGAAAGCCAAGAGAGCAAGCAAAAAAGGGATTAAAGGAATCCTAGCAGCTGCCAAAGCAAGAAAACAACATACAAAGAGTACTAAAACCAGCATGCTGACCATCAATCTCGAAGGAGAGACTAAAAGTTGCCACACCATCAAAACCAACCATGTAGCACAAGCAACTTGAACCTAGCTGAATGAACAGCCTGGGCATGAAGGCAGCAAACCCAGAAGAAAGTCTTCCCCTCCATTCCAAAAACAATAGAACCAAAGCCTAAGAGGCAAATAAATACTGTAGCAAGGACAAGAACCGCAGGCTAACCATGTTCAGAAACGAAAGAGTGAAAGAGGTTGCTAGAAAACCAAGGGGTCACGTTAATTTCCAATTTGAAGAGGCCCAAAGAAGAAGTGATTGGCAATTGTTGGGATTCACGTGGAATCCACATCTGAATTGGATGGCAATCCAAATTTCTTTAGAATAATGACAATTAAAAAAGATGTGCTCATGAGATTCAGCTTCAGAATAACATGAGGTGCACACATTCGGTTGTATGAGAAATCTCATGTTTGGCCTATCTGACAAACTGTGTTCTGGAATGCAGTGTTGAAACCAAACAAGATGATACTAATGGGCTTGAGGGAGCTGAGGAGAAAGATGACGTAAAGTATGAGTAAGAGAGTTTTTACCATTAGGAGATGGAGTCCAAAAAACAATATCATCTGAACTGGAAGAAGGATTGGACAAAAAAGATGGGTCAAAAGCTGAAGAGATTAAATTCAAAAAATGTCTTGGCTAGTTCCATTGGTTACCTGAATTGATAAAGGAGACTTTATCATACTTGGGCACACCCCCATCCATGCCTAGGAAGAGCAGGAACATCTTGGATCAAAGGGCCACGTGGCAGCTATGACTTATGAGTTGAAAAGCAAGTGATTCTTAGTTTAATTTCTAACTTTGTGAAGAAGCAGGGCCTTGCAATCTCTTTAAAGTTGAAGTAGTTTCCTCCAAAACCTTGAAGAATTACTCAGAATGCTCAAGTCCCAGAAACTCTTGTCCTTGTTTAATTCTTCTTCACCCATTGAGCCCATAAACTATGAGAAGAGTCATTGGACAAGTTCCAACTGCAGACTTATTGCGTATCTGTAGAGTAGAGGTGCCCTGACCCCCTCCTTGGATTTACTGGCATTTTTTTTCCCTGAATGATTTACATTCTCCCACTCAATCTTTGCACCAGGCTGAGCCAAAGCTGACCCCGACCATAAAACCTCCTAATAATTTGCTCCAGCTGAAGCGTAACCTTGGAACAAATGATTAACAGGCTGAACCAGTAGGCTTGTAAGCTAAACAAGATAGCTCTAAGGAGTTGCTACTCCCGGTCATACTATCAAAGAGAGTTTTGCAATCTAGAGCGGTTAATTTTGTGGATAAAAGAGGCAAGCCAAGATATCTTGTAGGAAGTTTACCAGTATTAAACCCAAAAAACAGAGAAAAACTTAATAGGGTCAGAAACTCCAACAAAGAACAAGAGGCTCTTAGAACGATTAGGGAATACACCAGAAAGTTTGGAAAATGAGTTGAGAACTTCAAAAAAAAAAATGAGTAGAATAGTAGATTGAAATTTTTCATAGGACAGAAGAACTATATCATCTGCAAAAGCCAAATGAGTAATTTTCAAAACTTTACATCTCCAATGATATTGAAAAAGCGGATTGTCGAAAACAGTCCATAGCAAAAACGAACAGATAAAGTGAAATAGGTCACCTTGTCTACAACCCTTTAACAACTTGAAAGAATCCACACAATTCTCCATTAATGGATATGGAAAAAGACATAATTGAGATACATGTGGAAATCCACTTGATAAAAATAGGAAAGAAGTTCATCAATTCAAGAGCCAACAAAAGGACTCATAATTTTTATGTAAATAATTCTATTGGCACATCTAGGGGAGGAAACATTCACATGGTTCCCCCTCATAAGCCTATGAGCAAGAATGATGTTATTCCCAATTCTCCTACCTTTAACAAATGCATTTTGAGAATTGTCAATATGATTAGGGAGGATTAGTTTCAATTTGTTTGCCAATAATTTAGAAATGCATCTGTTCAACAGATTGCAATAAGAAATGAGTCTATAATCATTGAGAAAGGGAGGGTTAGGGACTCTAGAGACTAAGGCTATATAGGCATTATTAATTTCCTCTTTGAGTCTATAATCATTGGAAATAATGAACAATCTCCTGTTTGATCAAGGTATGATTACTCACTGCCTCACCACTGGAAGTAGTAGGAGTCGTAATCTTTCTCCTGTCTGGTTAGAAATGACTTTAGTAAACGATTTAACTTGGTAGAAATGAGTTTATTAAACAATTTAACTGATGATATGCTTCATAGAGTTGTGGGGTTTCGTAGCTGAACCCTGGAAGTTGGATTCCAAGGGTCTTTTTTTTTTTTTTTTTTTTTTTTTTTTTTTTTGGGGGGGGGGGGGGGGGGGGGGGTATTTACCTATTGTATGATGTGTAAATGTCTACATATGTTTTCCTGTTTCCAAGTTAACAAAATCAAACAAGTGCTGGCTTCTGATACCCATTTAAGTATCTGAGTGGACTTTCCTTGGTATCATCAGTCATCAATAGTTTAATTCTTTGTCTGCAATAAAGAATGATGGACTGAAGTTGTTTTAATGCCCCCTGCAGGTTCAGTATTTTTGGGGCAGTGGACACCTGAGAGTGTGGGAGATTATGCAAGTGGGACAAATCACGTTCTTCCAACTTACGGTTATGCACGGATGTACGGTGGGGTGTCTCTGGACTCCTTCCTGAAGTACATAACGGTGCAGTCATTGACAGAGGAAGGTCTTAAGGAGCTTGGCCCTTACGTTGCAACCATGGCCGAAGTTGAAGGGCTGGAAGCACACAAGAGAGCTGTAACTCTTCGACTTCAGGAAATTGAAGCAAGACAGGTTCCCAATTTGAGATGATATGAATGGTCACCCATGTCATATTCATTTTCGGTGCTGACCCTTTTTGACTGACTCGCTCTCTACCAAATGCTAGAGAAAAATTGCCGCATTTATAGGTGGCTTGCTTGTATTCTAATTTTGTAACCAGAACACTAGTTTTAAAGGAACACAAATTGAACTAGCGTTGAGGGAATTTTATAGCCAGGAAGGTCTAATTTGGCACCTCTTTGTGCATCTTCATTTTTTATGAAATATGTAAGCTTCAACTAAATTCATATACTTTTTGGTTCTGCAGAGAACTCTACTTTCCTTGTCCTGTATCAATATATCATAGTGTGATTAATTCTGTCAACTGTCCATGACCGAAAATGGGACGAATCTAAAAGCCATGGGCGCTGAGCTAAAGAAATAAGAATAGTAAAGAAGCAGAAAGGAAGAGTAGCATTTCTGTGTCACAAATTGAGACTCACTTTGTTAATTATTTTTAACAAATTTACCGGGTAAATGATATTTTTAACAAATTCTCACACTGTTCATCATCAATATTGCTCAACCATAATTTTCGTTAACATCAACAATCAGAACCTTAACAAGCGAGTACCTAGTGGTATGTTTAAGGAGTCTTTGAGTTCAACTCTCACAATTTAAATTTGTTTATTCTTTGTTTCAATGCTTATGATATGCGTGTCTATTTGGGTAATTCCACTATAAAAGAACAAATATTGAACAGTCTCTGAGCTTGCTGATTAAAGGGATTGAGCTTGAGCAATGGTAAGCTCATTTGGCTGGTAAAGAGATTCTCCTTTTTTTTAAAATAAAATAAAAATTATTCTTTTATTTTCAATAAGTTGGTATGATAATTTAAATAAATAATATATATATATATATAATTGGGTTCTAAATGTGGCCACATTTCCAGGTCAAGTTGAGCTCGCAGCCTCATATGGTTTTGCTCTTTACTCCAAAAAGTCTCATACCAATTAGAGTGTAAAAATCCTACATATATATATATATATAGCACCTTCTCTTTCCACACCCAAGCGGCCTCGCACTGTTTTGCTCTTTACTCCAAAAGGTCTCATACCAATTAGAGTGTAAAAACTCTACATACATATATATATATATATATATATATAGCACTTTCTCTTACCACACCGGGGGGGTCCGGCCTAGCTCAGTTCATTTGGAGCCCCACCAGACGCCTCTACTGGTTATCAACTAAAGGTCACAGAAGGAAAATGAAACAGCTTACCTCAACTCCATTTGGGTTCCAACTTGCCCAAACACAAATTATGATAATCAACTTCGAATTCTTTCCTTTCTTGTCTTTCCATCTAGCTCAGCTCTGTTTAGCAACTCCATGTGGTTTCTTTTTACTTTGCAATTTGACCTCCAGCAAGTGTTTCCGAACATCTGTCGTTCAGCGATCATCAATACTTCCAATGCAATGATGATAATAAGACTCTGCCCAGAACAATTCAAAATCTGTACACACCAAATGTGAAGTTACGGCATGAGTGAAAATCCTCTCCGATCGTTTTAGCAGAAACAGTTAGAAACCCGACATTAAAATCCACCTGCTTTTGATCGGGATTATTTTCACTACACTACGGACTGCAAAGTACAGATACACTGGAGAAGAAGGAACTTTCAATTTATTAAATAGCATAAGACTTGGGCAACCGAAAATCCAAGCCTTTTTCCCCCTTTTCTCCCCACTAAGTACTAAAATTCCGATCTTGCTCATCATAACTTGTACAATTAATATGTTACACAAGCTTACAAGCCCAGCTACAAGGGATTAAAAACCATGATAGCATAGGGAGGAATGCAATGAATTTCACTAAGATTGGATTATGGACAAAACAATATTTGCGATTGAAATCCAATGTACCTCAAATATAATAGCGGACCGTTTAACAGAAATTGAAATTACTGAAGAATTGAATTATAAAATATTTGGTTGTTATTTTTTATTATTCATTCCTGTAAGCTGACCACTGGAACAAAAAATCATTTCACCCAAAATTGGATACACAACCTGCATTGCAGCAAAGATAAATGCAGGAATGCGATGTATTTAGTCCTCGCGCCACTGCTCTCCACAATGCTCATTCAAACACTTGTAAAATGTTGACATCGGCTCATCAGCTGACCTGATCTGAATTTGCTGGAAAGCAGCCTTCCCAAACCTACACTTGGGGCACGTTGCTGCAAAGAGAGAAAAAAAAAAAGGGGGAAGGAAAAAAAGGATTTCAGAATCGCACAATTAGCCAACATCTAAGGAAGTAGCATGAATAATAATAACATGAACTTCTATGTGACAGTTGTTACCTAATGTCGCTTCAACCTATAAAATTCAGGCATTCAACAATAGAATCTTGTTTATGTTGAACTATATTCTATTTTCATAATGTTCTATCCCACCAAGTTTACATGTGTTTACTTGAGCATGTATGAATACTAAAAACTGGTCTAATTTTAAAAAGCTAACCACACAGCCTCATGGTTCATAGGGGTTTCAGCTTTGAGAATGCATCATGTCTTGCATTCAAGGAAACCAATTTGTTACAAGGTGTGAAATATTCCAAAAAATTCTATGATCAGATGTCAAAATCTCATTAACAAAGTCAAATCTTTCACAATCCGCATAATTCTATCTCAACCCACCAATCTCTGATTGAAAGGAAATCTGCAAGTGACTGCAACTACTACATGAAGTATGTATCCTAGTTCCATAATTCTACAAAATTTGACCAAAAAAAAAAAAAAATTGGACAGTAGCAGAAATGAACCCCTTCGCAAGATGCATCTGGTTAGTTACTTCAACTTTTGTCCCACAAGGTGCAATACAATGATTCATTATTTAACAAAACTTATGAAAACCTTTTTCCTGTTGTTATGCAAGCAATATATACCAATGGTTAAAAGACCGGTATTACCAGTGTATATCCCCACCTAATCAAGGTGTTGAGAGAGAAAGTCGGGAGATAAGACCTAACCTTGACATTACTTTGCACAAACTCCCCTACACTTGTGAGATCGAGCTTTTACCATTATACTAAGCAACAGCCCCTCCGTACTTATGTTACAAGGAAACAAGAATTACATGCAAATCTCCCCTAAAATTAGAAGAGAAAATTTGGTAACCAATTTTCAAACATCCATCAGACGTTTTAATTGACAGTACAGCTACTGTAATACTAAGTTGTTTAATGGACAGGAGGTGTAAAGGATGTAATACAACGATGTGTTTGAAACAAGTCATTACATCTACTTAGTCTATTGTTCTCTCATCCATTTATGACCTTAACTATCCCATTCCACTTAGGAAGCCTTAAAAAGAGAACGTAGCCAGAAGAAGAAGATGCTAATATTAACCAATAACAACATCATGAAAATCATCATACCATTAACCTGTTCATCAAGTGTTAGGAGGCCGACTTTAAAAGACCTCAGTTTATATGAAAATCAAAATATAGTTCAGAACTTTATTGGAGTTGACTATCATGTTTATATAATGAAAGCAACGATTCTAATAAAGTACAAAGGACATGCAGTTAATATCCTTTAAACCCAGAAAGGCGAGGAACACTTTTCAGTAAGTATACCATGTTCAATTCAATCCTCAAAAGAATCATGAACATATCATGTGAATAACTGCATCAGGTCAGCTTCTATGTAAAAAAAAAAAAAAAAAAAAAAAAAAAAAAATGGAAATTTGAAGACAACAGGAAAACTACATAAAGAAAAACAAAAAGCAAGCTTGAAAATCTTCAATTACTCAACATAAGCATAATTACACAAACCACATATTATGAATCAAGTTAATAAATGAAAAGGGCAATTCCAGTTTTCAGGGTCAAAACATATGGAAAAGAAATACACCTTCAGTTGTGGGAGCATTCTTCATATCCTCTTTAGAGAAAATGGGTTCTATCTCTTTCTTAACTAAATGTTGCCTTCTCTTTATCTTAACCTGTAAAAAAGAAATACACGCACAAGTAGTCCACCAAAAATTCAGTTGTAAAGGTAGAGTAGCAGACGACTTAGGAAAAGAAAACATTTCAACACAAAGGTCTGTTGGGTGAGCTACCTTGCTCTCCATGTGAGACACGTATGGACATGTAGGGCAGAAGAATCTGGCAGGTCGTCCCATATAGGGCAACTCAAACTGCAACAATATCCCACAAGTTGGGCAAAATTCCATTTGTTGGCTTGTAGCACACTACACGCCCCTCAAACTGTATTTTTTTTCTGTTTGTTATATGTTGCTTACTAAAAAAGATGAGACAGTACAGTAAAAATATTATGTAATTTCATTGATATGAATAATATTAAAACACGAACAATAATATAAGGTGATCAAGTCTGGTTCTGGATGCGAGGGCATAGCCTCCATCACATGCATTTTTCCACTTAATCAGTAACGAAGGGGGAAAGGAAAAAAAAGGATTATAGAACAATACATGTTAATAATTTGAACCAAATGTGGGGTTGAGAGTTTAATTCAAGCCCATCAACCTTGCAATAGAAAAATAAATGTTTTGTTGTTGCATTTTTCTATGTTAGCATTACAATTTGAACCACCAAAGGGATAGCTTGAGTGGTATGTCCTCCACCTCCCTAAAGGGGAGGTTGAGGATACAAGCTTCAATAGACACATTTGGTTAACCAATTTAATTTGGAAACTAGGAAAACCGGAAAATGGGAAGGGGAAAGAACTTATTAAATTAGTGTCAAGAACCTCGTGTTGCACCCCTTTAAAAAATCTATCAAAAAAAAAATTTAGTGTCAAGAACAATCAACCATGAAGCATATTTTAAAAGAACACTACTTCGAACCCCCTAATAACAAAAGGCATTTCATCAAACAACTTACGTGAAGATATAGACAAAAATACTTCCCCAAAGGTCAATACAATCGGCATCTAAAAGCTGAATCATTTATTCATGAACTAACTAATAGCTGAATATCTTTAGTGTACATAGTTATCGGAGCGCGGCCCAGCGGGGCGGGGGGGGGGGGGGGGGAGATAACTTTACTATACGTTAGTAAACATAACAAATATATTTTCCCCCCTGAGCTACATATAACGTATAGTAAAGATACGTTATAACATATATAGTTGTTTGCTATGTTATAACATGTACACTCACTCCGTCTCAAAATTGTTGTCCAACTTTGAAATTTCAACTATATAAAAGGACATGCATTGTCCCCTTTTTAAATTTCAAAACTATCCTTCAAAATATAGTGTTAGGGTAATTTTCAAAAGTTGAGGATATTTCCAGAAGAAATTTTTTACATTTGAGGGTCAACAATTTTGAGAAATCCCTAAATGGAAAGATGGACAAGAATATACTCCCTCCGTCCCATATTACTTGTATACCTTTCCATTTTTAGCTATCCCAAAATAGTCCCAATTGAAAAGTCAATGTACTATATTTTGCAACATTCCCAATTTACCCTTCTTCCAGCGAATTTATAAAAACTCAAAGGTGTAAAAAATGACATCACTATGGTCCCACCATAGGTAGATTTGGTAATTCATTCACTACCAATATAATAAAAAAAAATATTAAAGAAAAAAAATGATAACGTTAATTATAAGAGAAAATCCTTCCCATGAAAGGCTATTTGACATTCTAAGGCCCCTCTTAAGGTGGCTTTCTTTGCATAGACTTCGCGTTGGGGAAGATTTTGACCCAGGATAACCTAAAGAGGAGAGAAGTGGTGGTCAATTGTTGCTACGTGTAAGAGAAATGCGGATACAGTGGATCACCTTCTTTTGCATTGTCGAGTGGCTTAGGACTGCTTGGTCATGTTGTTAGGTTTATTTAGGATTCAATGGGTTATGCCCAGATCCTCCAGAGATTTGGTGGAGGCTTGGAAAGGGTGGACGGGAAGAGAGGGGGGAGGGGGTCCGTGATTTCTTGAAGGTTACACGCCTTTGTGTGTTTGATGGTGTTTATGGCTTGAAAGGAATAAGAGATCCTTTGTAGGGAAGGAGAATCCTATTGGCGAGCTAAAGTTCTCCATTATTAGCACTCCTTTTTGTTGGGTTCTATGGAGAAATTGTTAATGCATGGTGGAGACGGTAGAGTATTTGGGACTTCTTGAGAGTTTAGAAGCCCTATTTGGCCTTGTATAGCTTTTGAGGGATGCATTCCCCTTTTGAATGCTTTTCTTAATACGATCTTACTAATCAAAAAATAGTTATGAGAGAATAACCTGCATTTATGTTTGGATAAGAAAGAAAAGGATAGCATTCTTGTTTGAAAAAAGTAAAGGAGAGAAAAGAAAAGAAACTATTTTAACCAATTTACTATATGCCCTAATGTTAAGATGAGACCCCAATGTCTTTTAAATTTCCTTCTTTAAAATGTTGAGGTTATTTTTGGAATTATGAAAACTTCACTTAAGTTGTTACCCTCCCGCCAAGTCTTCCTACTTTTGGAAGGATATAAAACCAAACATGAAATGAAACTCGCTATCCCTACCTATCTTTTCTTTTCTTTCCAATTCTGTCAATCCAAACGAAGCCTTAATATTGTTTATTATATGAATTACCAAATCTATCAATGCTAAGTCCAAAGTGACCTCATGTTTTACACGTTACTTGTTTTTATAAGTTCAATACAAGAAGGGTAAATTGAAAATGTTGCAAAATATAGAACATTGATTTTTCAATCGGAACAACTATTTTGGGACCCCTAAAAATGGAAAGGTGGACAAGCAATATGGGATGGAGGAAGTATATGTAGTTATATACTCCTCCCGTCTCAAATTAAATGCCCTCTTCGAGAATCTAACTTTTTAAGACGATGGGTTTTAATATTTTATTATTGTATTGGTAGTGAATGAATTATCAAATATGTCCATAGTGGGTTCAAATGATGTGATTTTACTTTTTATAAGTTCAATGTAAGAAGGTTAAATTGGTAATGTTACAAAAAATAGTATTTTGACTTTTCAAAAGGGACATTTATTTTGCGACAGCCAAAAATGGAAAGGCGGACATTTAATTTGAGACGGAGGGAGTAGTTGTTATGTTGACATATATAATTGTATATGTTATAACATAATCCCTCCATCCCATAATTCTCAGTCATCTTTCCATTCTTAAGAAGCCCATCCCCTCCGGGGACTACAGGAAGGTTGTCGTAGCCGGTGGAAGACTCGCCGAAATCGAGAAGTACATCGTCTCCAGCGCCAGTGGTTGCACTTTTCCCCTTGTCGACATCTAGAAGCGCATCATCGCCGGTGACTAGCGGAAGGTGGTTGTTCTCGCCGGCGACATCAAGAAGCCTGGCGGAACCAATATTCAACAATGACCGGAGGAATGTTGTTCTCGCCGCCGCCAGAGGCATTACTCGACTCGCCGACCTCAATAAACCCATCGAAACCTTTGCTTAGACCGGAAGGATCGTACCCTAAAGACATGTATTTAGGAATCACTAGGTCGACCTTCTTTCCTCGCCAAGCCAGAAACGGAGCCGGAGCAAGAGAGCTAAAATGTGGACACCTAGCCAACCTTATCAAGAAACCTCTCCTATACTGAGACCAAGGGAAACGACCCATCTTGCTATCATTACACCCAAGCACCCTTATACCATTTCATCTTCTTCACAAGAAGATTCCTGATAAATAGACAAAAAAAAAAACCTTGCCTAAATGAACCTCTCTCTCCCTTCTCTATCTCCATTGAAGACCAAAAAGCATAGTTTCATCTCTACACCAAATCGAGAGCCAAAACTTGAAGCGTCAACACCGTGAACTCAAGTGACAGCCTTGATCAGAACACCACGATGATTTTTGTGTCGCCACGAAAGAATATGACCAGGTCATTTTTGTGACCTGGTTATCGCCGTGGATGCTAGCGACCACTAGGTCGTCGCCCATGGGAGATACCAGGTCACTGCTGGAGACCTGGTTGAAGGAGAATAAGGGAGCGGGTTTTCTGGCTACCAGTCGCTGCTAAACAAGGGCGGATCTAGGATTTCTCAATGGGGTGGGCTAAATCAAAATATCTCAACCAAAATCCAACTGCTTTTTAATTCAATTTTAGTTAATTAACAAAGTTTCTTTAGACAATTGACTAATTAAGGCATAGAAAATCTCAAAATCCTACTTGGGTAATTAATAAAAAAAAATTACCAATTTATTTCTGAACAATTCACCACTCAGTACCCTTTGACCAATTTACTAATCCTATTTGAGAATCTACTAGTGGAAGCAGAGTGTGAGGTAGTTCATGGCAAGCCCCTTCCAACACTATGGAATTCACTCAAAAGCATGCTAATTGTAAGTATTTTAATTTTCAAGAAGTAACTTTAGAGCTTTACCCTATAGTAAGTATTTTTGCTTGTCAAAGTTCTTGTTATGATTTTTTTGAAAAGATTTCCATCTTCAAAAAGCTTGGCATGTTGATAAAAATTGTTTCAGATTCAATCTCTGCAGATTTCTAATCCAATCCAATTCAGATTCTTTTTTTTTTTTTCTTTTTTCATGCCCAGATTCAAATTTTCTTGTAGACATAATTGACAACAAAAAAAAAAAAAACAGAAATAGAAGTTATAGAAATAAATTAAAAAAAAAAAAAAAAAATTTTTGCTGAAATATAATGTAGATTACGGTGATTACCTCAAAATGCAATGCAATTATTACCTCAAAATGCAATGCAAATTTTGTTACTTCATATTGTAAAATATATATATATATATATAAAAGATCAACAAGAACTACAGAGCTTGATTAGTTGATTTAGAAAAAAAAATTAAAACAAAACCCATACATACAAGTTAGCAGTTGCAGAGAGAGAGGGCCGAGGGGGGCAAGCTTGAGAGTTGAGAGACAGCCGCTGAAGCTTGCGAACGGCGAACCCGAACTGGAACAGCGGGCGATGGAAACTGAAAGATATGGGTTTTGATTTTTTGAACAATCTGAAATGATATGCCGATATGGGTTTTGATATAGGTAATAGGTTTTGAACTTTTGATTCTTGCAGACAGATAGATATACTCAAATATGGGTTTTGATATATAAGTTTTGAACTTCTGATTCTTGTAGATTTTGTAGTTTGCAGTTGCAGAGAGAGAGAGGGAGAGGGTAACTTCGGAGTGGAGAACGAGAATAGAAATGGAGGCGATTGGGTAGGCTGAAATGATTTGCCCTAAATTTATTTTATTATTTTATTTTTTTCTGGTGGCCCATCATCCATGGGCCTATAAATTTTGAGGCCCTAGGACACCGCCTCTGTCACCTTGGGTCAGGGCCGGCCCTGGGCTTATTTGGTTTGGGCCTTTATTTTAGTATGGTAGCTAAGTTGACTTGATAGGATGGGCTAATTTTGGGTTGGGCTAATATTATAAATAAATTTTTTTTTTTTGGACTGAGATAAAATTAGTAGTATAGTAAAAAATAATTTTTTTTTTGGTGGGCTTGATGCTAAAACGAGACCATCATCACCTGAGAATTTCAGCTACTCAAATCTGAAAATGTTTAGAACAACGGCCAACCGACCCATGAACATCAGTCCAGACCGGAGAATTTCAGCTGAGAACTAGAACGTCATTGAAGACCCAATCCAGGGCCATAAATAATTAATATAGCGATAGTTAATGAATATCGGGATCTTTATCTGTCTGCCCAACATGATTGTAGAAGGAACGGGATCGGACAAGCAGCAGCGATATACATGATATATATATGTGTGTGTGTGTGTGTGTGTGTACACATGATATAACAATTTTTCTACGGCATCAGATTCAGCAGAGGAAGAACAGGATGAGTGAATTAGGGGCACTTGACCGTTGGGGCTTATTTGGTTACGGTCTTTCAAAGGCATAATAGTTTTTTAAATTTGATAAGAGTTGTATGGTCATTTAAATAAATATGAACTGTCACGCATTTGCTACAAAATGATGGGCCTGTCACTGGATTGGGTAAACTGCAACCAAAGCTGATAGTTTTGTGCGATTTCTAATTCCATATGCAAACAAAACTTTATAACATAATTATGATTACATAAACTAGTTGTGTCACCTCCGTATCTCGAGCATCCTCAGCAACGGGCCCATTGCCCTCATCAATAGGAGCACCCTCGGAAACAAGCTGCCGATCTGGTGACCCTGCCAATCTGAGAGGGGCCCTTTCCTCCAGCACTAGATCGGGGTCGCGACCGACCACAAGGCCGCCTGGTTGTTTCATATAGATGTCCTCTAAATGACCATTTAAGAATGCCGTCTTTACATCCATCAATCAAAGGAATATTTTTCTTACAAGGTTTTCAAAATCATTTTCCACAAGAAGCCCTTGTTTCAAATGATTTAACATACCTTAAAACTTTGTTAAAAGATTACTCAACTAATCTAAATTACATTTCAAAAACCAATCACGACGCTTCAAACCTCTTTTCATAATTTGATTCCTTAAACACCCTTTTGGAGAAATTTTGAGATACAGCAGAAAAAACTATTAACTTTGTGAATAAATCACAAAACCGACAGAAAATTCAATACTACTAAGAGTAATAATGATAATGCTGATGACTATGACAATAATGATAATGATTAGAAACTCAATAATGTTCCATTAAAAATGAAAATTCTACAGCAACTTAACGAGCATTGTCTTCTGCATTACGACTTAATTGTCACGAGTCCATAACTCCTCACCCCTTAGATTCCGAGTTGCAAAGAAAAGCAATTTTTTTTTTTTTTTTTAGTTGGTTCTCACACACACATGCCTCAACTGAGGCTCGAACCCTGACCTCTCTATGAAATGTAGGGGCGTAGTTCCGCTAGGTCACTGACATATTGGTTAAGAAAAGCATTTTCTACCGGGGAACTGGATAAAAACAAATGCAATGTGCATACTGGGAATGCTTTAAAACGTTTATATTCCTCAAATAGTATGGAACTTGTACCTGAAACCATACATTAGTAAATACATGGAAGCTTAGAAACTTTTAACGTTAGTACTATATAGAACACATGATAGGCGACCCTTGACTGCTCTTGGAGTCTCCCCTCCAGGAATCTTGAACCTGAGCCGCGAACTGCAAGTTCCAGAGGACATCCTCGACAGAAGGCCTATCTGTTGGTTCATTGGACAGACACCTCACACAGTTCTCCATCGTTGTTTTCAACGATTCATCTGAACACTCCTTGCGAATTGCCGGATCAACTATACTCCTTCGAGCTACCTCATCAGCTGTCAAACTTACTTGCAACTGCAAATGAACCGAACACAATCCAAAGTTCATAAGAACACAATTAAGAATCTGCCTTGATCATGGAAACAAAATTTTAAAGAAGAGAATAGAATATGATGCTAACAAAATGCTTACAAGATCTTTTGCAACACTGATGTCATTTTTGGACAGTATTGGCCTTCCCACAATGATTTCTAGTAAGATTACTCCCAGATCATAAACATCATCTTTGTCCGCGTGTCTTACCCTGCATTTAAACAGAATTCATTTAAAATAATTCAAGGAAATATTTTGTTTAATAATTGAGAAGCAGAGTATAACACATCAAATGATACATACAATTTTTTATAAGAAAAAGAATACCGATCAGGGTTGCACCGGCATTCAATGCGGGTCGAAGCATATGGTTGCCCGGTTGGTTAAATGCTGTTAATGAGAATAGTAATTCACTATTCTTAACAATAGGTCCCGGAGACTTTTTGGTTCATCATGCTATTGCTCTAGGTTTACATACAACTACATAGTGAAGTAAATATCTTAAGCATGTAAATAGAAGAGTATAAACTGTGCGCGCGCATGTGTGGGGGAGAACTTTTGTAACATATGGGAAACAATAGATAAGAATTGAATGTATTCATGAAAAGCCAGAGGTAGCACTGTGTAAATTCATGGTGGTTTGGTCATGTTCAACAAAGGTCAATTTCGAGTAAGAGTGCTTTAATTGATTTTGAGGCAACACAAGTGGAAGGCAAAACAGGATTTGTCACTTCGATCGTCAAGTTGAGTTTAACCTTAAAGACTTAAATTAGTAACACTGAATTAAACTAAAAATCTAACTCTAGATAACTATTCTATTTGGCAAAAGAAAATGCTTGTTAATTTTGAACTCAAGAAGTTGACTTCAAGAAAGAGATCATTTACCTTCCTCGAACATTTTCTTGTGTTACTGTGGAAGATGCTGCATCACCTACCTAATAGATTTACAAAGAGAACTATTAACTCGGGGAATTTGCTTAAAGGACTATTCAAAAGAAGGAAAAACAATTAAGTTTCTTCTTGGCATACCTGTCTCTTATTTTCAGATAACAATGGCAGATTATAACTGCTAATTTTCGCATGCAGATTTTGATCCATGAAAACATCTGTAATTTTCAAATTATTTGAAAATACACCAGGCACAGTCCCTGTATGCAGAAATTGAATACCCCTAGCAATTTCAATAGCAGCTGTCATCCTTTGAGTCCAACTGAAAATTTGTCCTGGAAGTCTCTCTGCTGTATAGTGTTAGTGGAAGAAACATTATACATAGATAAAGGTATCATAGTTGCATACACAAGTCAAGGACAACAATAAGGAAATGCTTTTAATCCTATACAATTTGAATCCATATTTTGGTTATCTGCAAGCACCACTCAGTGGAGTCATCTAGGATAGTCAAGAAGAAATAAATAAGGTAAAAAAAGAAAAAAATAAAAAAGAAGTGATTCTAGGTGTCAAAGGGGTCTGTCCCACATTGTAGGGGTGGGGAGGGTTTTGGGCTTGAAAGGCCGAGTAGGCAACACCACCTAATAGCTTAAACTTTTGGGTCAAATGACAAGCATCTGCCCCATTACAAGTGGTATCAGAGCCGGCCCCCTTATCCAGTGTCACGCCAAGCACCCACACAAGATGTTGGGTCGTGTCTGGGTCCCCCTAAGGTGGACGGATGAGCAGGGTTGCTCGAACGCAACGAAGACATCATGGGTTTGGCTGGGGAAGAATGTCACAAGGGTCTGTCCCACATTGGTGGGTGGAAACATCCAATTGTACCAAGTTTTAAGCACAAAGATATTATCAGGTCCAACCCATCAAGTAATGTATGAAAACAAAATGAAGCACATATATAGTGCAGTGTAGTATGGTCTTTCCTATTACTGAATGCTATATCATATTTTATACTTTTTGACAACATATTTTTTACAATTCCCATTTGATTTGATTTTTTAAAGCAGAAATAGATAAATGTATCTATGCGGCGACAACGAGGAAGAGTGTTGACGAGGGTGTGTTACTCGTAGCATTCACGGGAAGATTAAATTCAAAGTTCAAATTAGTTGAGATGTTTGAAAACCTTTCAATATGCAGGACAAGGTATAAAGCCAATACCATAGCATGTTTGCCTCCAACAAAATTTACTATTTTCCTTAAATAAATGCTATGGGCAACAATTTTACCAGATATCCAGCCTCTAAGTGTCCCATTAGGCACGAACTCAAAGACCAGAAATATTCTGCTGACGCTCGAATCATCTGGGTAGCACTCAAAGCAGTGCCCAATAGCACAAACCAAATGGCTGTGTCGAAGTTTTGAAATCAGCTCAATTTGATGTGTATAGGTCTGGATGTTGTGCCTCTTTCTCATTTTCAAGCTTGTAATAGCGACAACAGTGCCATCTATGAGCCATCCTTTGTAGACCTGATTTCGGAATAAAGTCAAAACATGTTCATGTGTTCAATAGAAAATATTATATAGCTACATTCTTGTGAATGATTACATGAGTTGAATCAACAGAGTAAGCTCCAGAAAGTCATTTAACCAAAACTAGCATTTTCAGTGCATATTGCAGAAAGCATATGACCTTTTCTTTTTTCGCTCCGTGTGAAAGAAAACTACAAGAAAAAAGAAAACTATTGCATGCTAATAGTCGCATTTGCATCCAATAGAAGGATGTAATATATTCATGGATACAGATAAAAAACACTATATATGTTGACAAAAGTCTTCTTTTAATTTCAGAACCATTTTCTGATGAGTTAATTTATCTCTCTTTTTAACTGAGAGAAGTTTCACCTAGGAATTAGTTTCTTATGTAACAATTATTGCAAACAGGTTCACTGATGGAATTAAAAGAAGTAAAAGAGATTACAATAGCAAGAGCTAAGAGAAATAAGAAGAAGTAGAGAACACTGCTTAAGTAGATGAAATCAAATGTTAGTTTCTCACAATATGGAATGGCATACCTGACCATAAGACCCTTCACCTATGACATTTGACTTACTGAAGTCATTCGTAGCCTCCTTAAGCTCCTCCAACACAAAAGTCCGGTATGGAGGAAGGCCAAGTGCTCCCATCTTCATCGTTTCAGAAATATATCCTGTCAGCAAGAGAAGTTCAAACTATCATTCCTAATGTCCATGAGCAGGAAAAACTCAGTTCATTTTTGGCTTCCTTACTGACTTTCTTACTTTGTGGTTGCATACTTTAATTGCGTAAAATCAACAAAATTCCAACTGCTATCTAATTGAATTAATGGAAAGTTAAGACACCAAAATGTTAATAATTTCAATATGTTTATAAATAATGAACCAAAATTATCTTGATCAGAAAGGCTATGGAAGATCATCACTAAAGCAGAACTGCATCCACTTAGACAATAAATACTTTAATAGAATACAATGAGACAGAAAGATTTATTGTAAAAAAAACTTGGGTGTTTATATTATTCAATCCTAGAATTTGTGTATAATTTGTAAATCAACCTTCTTTTAGCCTTTTACCATTAGGATCCATCGGCTTAAGCCCGAATCTAATTAGGGGCATCGAAAATTTTATATGAGATACCATATCAGAAGCATGCTGGAAATGTGCCCTCATTTTCTTGCACTTCCACAAGAAAGTTTTTAGTTATCTGTAATTCAATATCAACCATAATTTAGTTCACAAGAATATTAAAAAGCACTCTTGTCATATCGAATAGAACTGTACATGATAAGCATTCAGGGGAAAAAGAAATGGATCATCAATCATCAACAAGAAAAGAACAGAATGTAGATCTTACTTGCAGCTGAAAGCAGTTTCATTGTGTATGCAGGTGACACTTTCTCCAGTATATCTCTTTGACATGTTGCAATAGTTATACCTCCAGAAACTCTTCTAGTAACCGAAAAAACCAGACCAGAAAGTGCAATTCCTGCTACAATTCCTCCCACTAAACCTGCTGCAAGAACCCCCCTATGAACTGGACTTTTCTCCTGTTCCCGGGGCATGATTTTCACGGCCAGAGCTTCATTATGGCAATATAAGTATGGATGCTGCTTCTGACTACTGTTTGATAAACAATTCCCATCACACTGGACAACCCTGCTATTAAAACCCCACTCTAAACAAGCAGGCAATTCTCCGGTCAAACGATTCGACGACAAATTCACAAAAACAAGTTCAGCATTGCAAGACATGTTTCGAAAAAGCATTCCCCTGAACCTGTTTTCTGCAACATCAAGATAATATAGCGAAGGCAGTGACAGTAAGGATGGTGAAAAGGGTCCTACAAACTCATTCAAAGAAACATCCAGCTTCTGAAGTTGATAATATGAGCTTAAATTGGCCGGTAGGCCAAAGCGAAACCTGTTCTTTCTGAGCACAAGAGTCATCAACTTAGTACTCACATTAGGAAAATGAGGACCAAAATTGTTGTCTTCCAAATCAAGCGTTTGAAGGTTTGTCAGGTTGCAAAGATTAGGCACTTCTCCAAACAAATGATTCCTCGAAGCCCTAAGAATTCGGAGATTTTCCATACTTGATAAGGAATTTGGAAGGTAACCAGTAAGTGAATTGTTCATAAAACTTAGAACAGCCAACATTGGTAGTGTACTTAGCCAGTGTGGTACTTCACCTGTGAACATGTTGTGATCCAATATTAGGGTTTGGAGGCTCCTCAAAGATAAAACCTCCATAGGGATAGTTCCACTAAGGTAATTTGAACTAATATTGAGTATTTCCAAGGAAGACAAACTGCCAACACTATTAGGCAGTGGTCCCCATAGACCTAGAGAAACCAAAGAGAGGACTTTCAAGCTTGGAAGACTAGCAAGATTGGAGAAGAAAGATTCAGTAAAGAGACTATGACGTGTTTGAGAAAAGCCATTGTTCCCAAAAATATGAAGCTGAGTTATGCTATCTTCATAGCACACAAGAGTTATTGAAGGGTTTGGCTCAATATTGCAGAAGTCTCTTTCTTCACTCCAGCTGCTTAGAGCTAAGGGGTAGTTCAGTAATTGCTTGATTTTCAGTAGGGCTTGAGATTGAGAAGGTTGAAGCTGAGATGAGTGTTGGATTGACAAAAACACCATGAAGAAGAGAAGAAGTAAAGATTGGTGAAAAGGGTTTGCCATTAGAACTCTCAAATTTTGATTGAATTGTCACTTGGATAGGTATGATAAGCTTTTCTTAGAGCTTTTCAAGAACTATGAGAGACCTGAAATAAGATTCCCAAGTTGCAGAGAGCTGAGATAAGAGTAAGTTGCAGACACTCGGACACTGAGCTATCATAAAGTTCTTTATGAAGTCATACAATGTTTTATGTATTAATAAAATAAAATAAAATAAAAAGAAAGAGAAAGAGAAAAGAAACCAAACATTTGACATTAGTTTGTACACATTAACTGCAATTGAATTCAATATGTGTTCTCATATTGGACTGTCTGAGCTTTTATTACTGAGCGCCAAACAAAGGGTCTTTAAACTGTGTTCAAGTATCAAATACACAAATCATGTTTAGTGATATTATTATATTTATAACCTTTTCTTCCATAAACTAATAGCCTAATATGAGTTGTGACAGCATGAAAGTCTTCGGACATGTTCAATTATGTTAACATGAGTAGAGACGATGTCATTAAATATCATGATATTATCCTCACTCATATAGAAATTTCAAATTTATTCATTTTTCATATAATAATACAGCATATGCTTTGTTGTTTTCTTTGTTAGAATTCATATTTAGAGACGTGCAATTAGGGTATTACAGTGCATACTTGCTCAATATCTAGCATTGCAAGCATCACACAGCTGGTGGAATTAAAATGAAATTAAAGAATGAATATATTTCATTATTAAAACTTAAAAGAAAGAAGTATGCGAAGTTCAAAGTACATTGAAGTTAGAGAACATGTCCATTGCCCAAGGCCAAGCAAAGTTTGCTACAAGAAATCAGACAGCATTCAATTTAATTAAAGGCATTGGACAAACTGTTTGTGCACTTACCATTAGAAGAGAATCAGGTAGATCCAGTGTCATTTACTCCTTTTGTCCTATGTTTGTTGTTGATCTCAAAAAATTTAACCAGCTACCATATTTAATTTTTGAGTCATTTGACATCTCTTTTAATCATATTTTTTTTATATATTTATATATTATTTTTGTATCCTACAAATTTGAAATAAACATCTAATATGAAAAAGAATTGAACACTTCATATACTGAAATATTATACCAAAAAAGAAGTGGACCGCTTCTCTATGTCATGACATTTTTAATGTGATCTACTTTACTTTCTATGCTGAAATTACTCAGATTTTTTACGTTCCAAAATTATTAGAAGACTACTTGCAAAAAACTCAGACTAAAACTTGTGAGAATACATAATCATTCCCTAAAATGAGAGTCAAGAGTTAAAGAATGAAAAAATGTTAGAGTAATGATAATTAAATTGATTTATTTGATCAGAGATTTTTTCTTTTCCGTTGTGGTCCTCAACTACATCACTACTTTTTCGCTATGCAAAAAGATTTGACAAATCATTTAAGAAGCATTTTTTTAAGATATTATATACACTCCATTGGAGTCTCGACGCCTATCCTTGTATGACTCTTGTCCCAATGCTGTCAGGTACAAATTCATATATTTTTGCCTTATACAAGAATTTGACACTGATATTTAAAGAAAAGGGTTAATTGCATTGACACCCCTAAGGTGTTGGTTAATGTCACTCAGTGACTGATCAACATTTTTTATACAATAACACCCTCTAAGCTTTTAAAATCTTTCATCCACACCCCTTCCGATCTACAAAAAGACTTAAATGCCCTTTGACAAGTCAACAATTACTTTTAAATCTTGAATGCCCTTTCTAACTAATTGACTCATTATTTGGACAATTGCATTAATCTTTCTATCTTTAATGCTATTTACGCCACCACAATAGAACCACCACCACCACTACACCAGAACCACCACCGCCACCTACACCACACCAAAACAACACCATCACCACAAAAGAGAGAAAATAAAATTGAAACACCCAGATAACTTAGACACCACCACAACTACACTCAAACAACATTACCACCACCACCACAATAGTAAAAAAAAAAATTGAAAACACCCACGGCAAACTTAAACACCACCACAACAGAAAAAAATAAACCCAACATCACCACGCCACCATGTTTTCCCCCAAATTTTGGGGACTTGCACTAGCCACCCCCTCTCAATTGGGCTTTCAGCCCAACCCATGTGAACTTGTCGAAGCAGTAGTAAAGTAAAGGTACGAAAGAGCCATGTTTGGGGAATAACATTTTAGTATTGGATCGGTCTCTCCTACAACACTCATGTGAGGATGCCTCACACATCCACCGCAAATGTGCTCACCTAATCAGGAAATCCCACCGCCGATTTTCCAGCCACCAGTTTTGTTACTTTCTAGTGCTCGCTCCACGGCCCATTCAAACCATGTCATTCATCTCCGCCTAACTACGGACAAATTTTCGTCTATTTTAGGAGTGTCTATCTGTGTTACGCGCAAGATGCTGCCGACATCCTTGGCGTCATTGGTCGCAATCACGTCACCTAAAAATTAGGGCTTTGTAGCGACAAGAAGCAAGTGGTAATGTTGGAGCAAAAGATGATGCCTTTGGACCATTTTGGGTGATGCCAGTGGAATGATCAGAGTGGAAGTAAGAGAGGAAATAGGAGATGGAGTGGTTGCCGGCATATCAGAAGCATGTATTGGGGATGAGTTACCGGAAAAGAGAGAGAAGATTAACAATGGAGAAAGGAGAATGCGAGAGAGAGGGAGCCGGTGTGTAAACAAAAAGCAACCAAAAAAAAAAGGAGGGTTAAGAGATTTAGGTAAAGAGAGGGGAAGGCTAGTTTTGTCAATTAAAAATGGTGATATTTTGTGAATTAATTGAATTAAATAATTAGGGCAAATATGGGGTGTCATTATTTAAAAAACCAAATGACATATTTGCCCTAATTATTTTATTCAATTAATTCACAAAATATCCCTTTTAATAGACAAAAATACCCTTCATCTCGCTTTACCTAAATCTCTTAACCCTCCTCTTTTTTTTTTTTCTTTTTTTTGTGGTTACTTTTTGTTTACACACCGGCTCCCTCTCTGTGGCATTCCTCTTTCTCCACCCCGATCTGAATGACATTGATCAATACTTCAAGGATGTTCGTGCAATTAATTTTAAAAAAGAAAAAAAACACATACACACACAATTAGGTATATGTGTAATTTTCCTGACCGACCACACATCGCAAACGTTGAATGATTGATTGCATACATAGGAGAAGAGGCCCACAATATTTCACGGGTGGTGAGAGAGTGAAAAGTAGAGCAATGCTATCTTCCAAAAGATGAGCACATCCTTTTCATATCAGTCTGCTTCAACAAAGTGACAAAGGCCTGTAGACATGTTAGCTACTGCACAGTGATGTTACCGACCAAAGCTAATACGAGATCCTGTCGTTTTGGGAGCACAAGTTCCAAATCTCTCTCTCTCTCTCTCTGTCATCCACGGGTTGCACAAGAAGAAGGGTGGTCACGGATGGTGCCACTGAAGTTCATCATCATTCTTCTCATCATACATTGCATACTGCCATGTTTGGGGGTTTTTAAGTGGAATTTAGGATCCAAATGTATAATATAAGATGTGTGCAGAACATAATAAAAGTTCCATCAATGGTTTACAAGTTTACCTTATATATATATATATATATATATATATATATATACATACTTCTTCCATCCCAAAATAAGTAGGTTGAGTTGCAATTTTCAAGATTCCAACTGAGTCACAATTTTCAAAATACTTAACTATTTTGGAATAGAGAAAGTATATAATTTTAGTATGTGCAAAAAGAAAGAAAATGATATTGGCACCACACTTTTCAATAGTTGTGCTTCACTCTTAAAAAAATAAAAAATGACATTATCCTTTTTAATTTCACAAATGAAATAAACAAACATTAATGAAAATAGAGACACTTTAATCGTTTATATTTTTTTAAAAAATATATAAAAGGTCAAGTGCATATGTTTAAAAATGAAGTAAATCATCACCAGGCAAAGAGAATTTAGTCGTTGCTTGTTCTGAATCTCTGGTAGGATGTCATGTTGGAAGTTTTCGCTGCTTGTAATGCTCTTGTTTAATATTAATATATTTTTTTTGCCAAGATAAAGGAAAAAAAATAAAAATAAAAATAGTTTGTAATGTAATATATGTGCATTTAGCTAGGGCTGTAAGTTGGGTTGGCATAACCCAGCCCAATCCCAACCCAACCTCAACCCGAATCGAATTGGGTTGAACCAACCCGAATTGTACTCAATATGGGTTATGATTATAACCTAGCCCGAATATTTTTGAACGGATTGGGTCGGGTTGACGGGTTAAAATTTTTTTTTTTTTTTTTTGAAATTTATATATATATATTATATATATTTAATTATATTATTATTAAAAATAAATTATATATATATATATATATATATTAATCAGAACTTCAAAACCCATATATTTCAGTTTCATCTATCTGTCTGCAACAATCAAAAGTTCAAAACCCATATCGTCATATCATTTCAAATTGTTCAAAAAATCAAAACCCAGATCTTTCAATTTCCATCGCTTGCTGCTCCAGATCAGGTTCGCCTTTGCTGTCTTTCAACTCTCAACCATTTTAGATTGTTCAAAAAATCAAAATCCAAATCTTTCAGTTTCCATCACCCACTGTTCCAGATTGGGTTCGCCGTTTGCAAGCTTCAACCACTATCTCTCAACTCTCAAGCTTGCCTCCCTCTCTGCAACTGCTAACTTGAATGTATGAGGATGGCGGTAGAGAGAGAAAGAGAAAGAAGAGAGAGAGAGAGAGAGAGAAAGAAGAGAGAGGAGAAAGAAATTTTTTATTTTTTTTACTTTTTGGGTTGGGTTCGGGTTGAGCCCGAGCACAATCCGAATATGTCTGGATTTTGACAAAACCCAACCCGAACATGAACCTGATTTGTAAACTTAAAGTCCAAATTTCAAATTTTCGGATTGGACTTGGGTTGGGCTAGATTAGCCCGCCCAAGTTGCAGCCCTACATTTAGCACAAGATGACCGAGTTTGTTGGAACTTGGAAAAGGCCCGTAAGCATATATAACCTACATTAAATTTAAAAAGAGGGCAATTTTACCGTAAACTGGCATCCTCATTCATTGAATTAACATATTACTAATCAACCAAGACAATCAATGAAAGATGGATATGAACAAAAAGAAACAAATTAGTTTTTTTTTTTTTTAATACAAATGATTAAAAATTTATGGAAAATTCACAACAACAAATAAATCAGCAAATCTTAATGAAAAACTTGTTATATAAGCACATTTGACCTCCAATCCTCATCATTCTTCAAGGAGATATCTATTCCTTCTTGCACCAAAAGCAAGTCTCTAAATGATAAGAACAAATAAAGGATTAGAAACTGCTGGTTTTGTTAACTACCCCCTTTTCAAAACCAAAAAATATATGTATAATTTAAATATACTTACGTCGAGTGAAGTAAATGAACACAATTAAAATAACAGAAGCATTTTGCAGTACTTAACTGAGAAAATCTGCGAGTAAGCTTTCAACCCGGTAAGGAAACGAATGTAAGTGGGCTTTGTTGTTCCATTGGTAAGGATGGATCTGATGCTTGGGACAAGGTACTCAGCAACCTGCACACACACAGGGCAGAAGGCCCGGAGAGACAGAAATGCAACAGAAATTATAATATCTTTAAATGGTGTACTAAAACATACATACATGTCTCTAGTCCCTCTTTTAAAGTAATAGTTTGTAATTGCAAAATAGGTCAATTTTCAGGGAAAAACCCTACTGATCATATTTCGGTATGGTCTTCAAAATTATATCTTTGTTTTTCTTCCATTCTGTTTGTAAGCATCTCTCACAAATATAAACCAGCAATCTATCTAGTCTAGGATATTGAAAAGAAACAGTTCGTCTCTGTACCTGTAACTGCTAAATTTAACCACATGATCTTTTCTACTGAACATTAAAGCTGTTATTATGGATGACCAAATCAGATGTTAATTCGAAAGGGAGGTTAAGTGGCTTCAGAATGCACCAATCATCTAATACTCATAAATACAAGGCACTTAAGAGAGAACTGAAATATCACTACTTCAACTTTCAGGTAGTCTAGGTAGATAAACAAAATCTTACCACTTCGGCCGTTTCTGCCAAAACATTAATGAAAAACTTAGCCTGCAACAAATAAAAATGTTTTACTTTCCTGATCAGAGACTTGAAGAACACAGATTGAGAAAAACATGTGACACAAATTCTACCTGCTTCGTGGTAGCACCAGACATGAGAAGATCAGTTGTGACCATTCCTGGCTGCTGACCACAAAGAATGGGAACATGAAACAAACAAGCAAAAATGAGGAAACATACGGCATGAAAATGACAGGAAATATTGGACAATCCAAGGTGGTTGTAGCACACATTTTAGTAACCCCACTACCACAAATTGATTTATACACAATCTTGCGTACATAACAAGTGCATAAAAGAATATGTGTGGTAGTATATAACTGGTGTTAAGAATCAAACCAATTTGAATGAACTCATAAGGTGGTACTTGAGTATCAACTATGTTTGACTGAAGAATAATCAATTACCAGGTAATTAGTAACAGAAAAATGCCACTTATATTGACCAAAAAGATCTAGACACTGGGATGTGTGCAAACTAAAGTTGTTCAGTTCTCGTTCCTCAATCTTCTGCACCCTCTGCCTGCTCACCCTTGATCACCCAACTTCAATTCTATCTTTCATATTTTGTCCTAGTCACCTTTTTTTTCCTCCAAATGTGAATGAACAATTGTTTCCCATTACCCAATCAATCCTCTTTGTGGACAAGACACCGATATATAAAAACACAAAAATCTTGAGCACCAAGTAAAATGGTGATCAAAAGACTTTAGACAATCTAATATTTAATGCATTTGCCATAAAACATAGTATAATTGGGATGCACTCCCCTCTTTAGCGTGCTTCAATGAACTTTTACTAACAAATAAATATACAAAAAAAAAATACATAGTAAAATAATTAAATGAGCACAAAAAAATTGTCTACAAAGGAAGTTAAACATTCACTATTTCATACATTTGTATCACCAACTGGAGACAAGATGAAGGATTACCAATTAAGCTGGTTTGGAGAGCAATAAAAATTATTCTGCAAAATCAGCAAGCGTCATTGCTCTTATTGAATATTCTAACAAGCATGAGGGAAACTAACATCCTTAAATTATTATACTTCTTTCTCGGTGTTCTTCATAAGTGGATGAAAGCATCGCTGCACTTCCTTGATGAGCTTTAGATGAGAGACTAGTGTTGAGGCAAAGAGGAAAGACATGTAAGTATCTAGGTTGATAAAAATTGCGACCTTAATACAGCAGAGCACACAATCTGGTAACAGGACCAAAGCAGCTGAACTAAAGGCTCTGTTAAGTTGATCTGTACATTTCTCGTGGAAAATTCTTAGTTTTTTTTTTCTGTTTTTTTTTTTCCTCGGATGAGAAGGTTTAAAGTCATATCATCCTTTCCTGGTAATTACAGCTCAAAGTTAGACAAGACAAGAATAATTAGTTGGATTCTTTGGTCCCACCCCTTCACATCCAATAACCCTAGTAGACAAGGTACAATCATAGAGGACAATAAATCGTATGAACATACACTCATTTGAAACTTAATTCATTAGTGTTGCAAGTGAGCAAAATCAGTAACTATTTTTTGTTGCTCTAATTTCCCACATCCCATGGGTATGAATTTTTTAAAACAAAAGTATGGATTGAAATTCTTGCATTACATCTATTAAACAATCTTCTTATCATTTTTTCTTTTTCCAATGAATAGAAGAGTTAGACATGTAAGGGTTCAGCAATTTTGATGTATTGTTCTCTATACCTAATACTATCTACAAGTACCAAAAATGTAATTTGAATATCTAAAGCTCTTATAATTAACTGTGTATTATAAAAGTACATGTTCTATATCAACGATGCATCTCCTAGGCCACCCCATGCTTAAGAAGGGACAAGTTGATTGGTTGCAATTGCAACATCACAATGCCTTCCCTCTCCCCGTCCAAAAACAAAAACGGTGCCAATTAACTGGCCAAAAAATCCTAAATTAGTGACCGAACAGTATTTGCTAAGCCATCAATCAGACAATTTTCATTGTCATCGAAAACAATTATGTTAATGGCTTAATGTGTGATCCATAGAATATAACAATGGTATCATGGACCAAAGTGCATGAGAAAATAAAATTAGAATGTTCAAAAATTGCACAGGATGACATAAAACCAGAAGTCCCAGATTCATTATATCAAGAATGCATAAATAAATACACCAAACCTACCGATAGGTTATGCACCACGACATTTTTAACGTCTTGCATCCGCATTTCTGCCTGTAGAAAAATCATAAGCACATATTTAGACAATTTTATTTTTAAAAAAATTGATGGGCAAATCTGTGGTGATACAGCATGCACACAAAATGATCCTGAACAATGACTGTGCAGTAGTAAAACAACACAGACAAAGACTTGGTTTTGTAGAATGAAAAGAGAATAGAAGTGGGGAGAAATATGAAAAAAAAAAAAAAAAATATGGTAACATAGACTGAGATTGCTAGAGGCCTTGTAGCCTAGCGGCATTAGCAGGCTTCCCATGTGAGAAGTGTAAGTTTAAAGTATTCAATATTCTAGAACACCATTTACTGCAAAGTAAAACTAAAGGTGAGTAGCCCCGAAGGATGCTGATCCTTGCTTAGCTCCAACATTTTACTTTGATATCAAGTAGAGATTGAAAAGGGGGTATTCTAACATTTGAGAGCAGAGTAGAAGAAAATATATATAAGAGAAAGGTAAAAGTGAATGTTGTGTATGTATTCCCCCTCTGTGTATCTATTATATGTACAATATCTAACATCAACAATGAACCAATTACTAAATAGGAACTACTAGATTAATACCTTTTTGATGTGAATTATAAGGAGCATAGAATGGAGTGGCAGAACAATGTACATCCAACAGCCCATTCCTCGCTCTTTAACCATAATTATTTAGGTCCCCATGAACCGGTTTTTAGCATTCATGTTCACCTTCCTTCTTCCTTCATTTCCACACGGAATGATAATGGGTTCTCCCCAGTGCTCGAAACAGTTAAAATAAATATTAAAATATATATATATTTTTTTTGATAAGTAAGAAAAAAATATATATTTTTGAAGGCATTAGCATGAGTGTGTTCTGCTATATCTTTGCTCAACCCACTAGTCTCTGTACAAAACTATGATAATAACAATGATTATTGAAGGCATTAGCATGAGCGTGTTCTGCTATTTATCTTTGTTCAACCCACTAGTCACTGTACAAAACTTAGATGCATGCGTCTACAGCATTTTTGTAATAAAATGCTTAAGAAATGATAATGTATTTACTTCCTAGGTGTTGGTTGGAAGTAGAAATCCTAAATAAAAGAATATTTCAGAAAATTCAAACCACCTGAAACTATAAGTTCAATGGCACATGAATAAGGAGCGTATGTTATGAGTTATATAAAAGTATGCTCAAACAAAACAAAAAGTCAAACAGGGCATACCTGTAATGACTTCGTTAAATGCACCACACTGCGCTTAGTCGCCCCATATGCTGCAAATCTAACAGAAATAACGAACACCATCAACCATATATATGACCCTAAGAACTGGAATTTAACGAATTAAAAGCACTATTCATATTCCCAGAATGTACAATACCTTTTCAATAAAAAAATAAAAACAAAAAAACCAAAGAAGAAAAAACAAAGATGGTGAAAGCGATGTTATTGATAGTTCACGATTCACTTGCTCACAGATTATAAAATTCTTGACATTCATCATGCTGGACCGGCAAGTAGCAAAGTAGTGCTGGCAACATCTTAATAGTGATAGTGGCAGTGCAACCAACCAACCAAACTAACGAAAATTATTTTTTTAGCATCTTCTCTCTCCTCATACTATTTCCGAGAAAACCAAACGAAGCATTTAATTAATACAAGCGGAAAATCTATATGAGAACTTCTAAATACATGTACTAAAAAATTAGAGCTTTCTTTTAAATTGTTCATAAATGCGAGTATTTATGGAATCACATGCTAGACTTTGTTTAAGAGTTTAAGACAGACAAACTATACAAATGAATGATTAGCGTACTGTGTTACATAGACTCCTATTTCCCTTCACGTACCCATGTCGACAAGACAGGACATAAGTATTGTTACAAGATATGTGTCTGACACATGAACCCAATTCAGACGCCCCAATCCTTCACATGGCATGATTGATGAAGAAGAAAAAACTGTATTTATTTCACTCAAAATAAAAATAAAAATAAATAAATAAATAAATAAAAAGAGCATAGCATACAGTGTATTTAAATAGCAGGGAACCCCTTTGTTTTATCACATCCCACTTAATTTGAGTTATAATTGATTATATTATTAAACAACAAAATTAAACATGACATTACAATATTTTAAAAATATAATATATTTAAATGTATAATACGGCATCCCGTCTTGTGTCTGTTATGTTCACCTGCCTGAACCATCCAAAGGGAAGTTGGACAATAAGGCAATTGTGTATTTGTTGGATCTTCCATTTAGAAAAAATTGTAAAGGTATATGGAGCCTTCGACAAGAAGGGTGTACAAATCCCATGACGTTGAGTTCGACAAAGGAACCTGTTGGGATGCATTCACAGCAGAGGGAGGAGATGTAAATAAACAACCAACCACAATTTTATTGAAACGTTGAAAGGAAAACTAGACATAAACACGCATCTGATACACTTACCTGAGTCCGGATAAAATAATTAGCATATCAATTGGAAGTTTTATAACAAGGGCATGGAGAAGCAGTTCATATTAGTGATGCTAATATGTGTCTAAGCCTCAGTTTTACCAAATTCTCAAACCCAAAGACACATGGATACAGCTAAATCCATATTATCTTAAGATTATTCTTTTGTTTTGTAGGGTATTATAATGTTTTCACTTGTTTTGAAGCAAAAGGAATAAAAAATTACGTATAATTATTTAATAAATTTGAATTATTGGATATGCATGTAGGTGCATGTCCAACCATATGTGTTGGACACATATACCATACCCATGTCTAGGTGTCCTGTGTCCAACATTGGTAATTCACTCATTTTTTGAGGAGTCCATGTAAAATAAGATGACAAATGCCATTAGGTCAGGATAGATTGCATCACAAAAGATCTCCCAAGAAACAAAACATATCACTACGTAGGCTCGTCCCCTCATGGGTGCTAGTTTCCCAGCATGGCCTCATTTTATCATTTTTGCAGTCTTTCCAAGAATCCTTCATGTGAAAACCTGACATTTGAGCAGTTTATGAGTGTAGTAATACCCAAGATAAACAAAGCATACCTGGGGGTTGGTCTTCCATCTGAACCAGCTCCGTCAGTATTGAAAATATGACCACCTCGAGGCTGCTTCAGCATCATTTTTATTGCCTGTATGACAAGTTGACAACCATGCATTAGCATAGACCTGACAAATGTCATTAAGAAGTAAAAACTAAGAGAACCTCATTACCTCTCGACAACATATCATCAAACCAAGAGTATTTGTAGTGACAACTTCTCTGTATAGAAATTTGAACTCAAAGCATAAACAAACAATGCAACAAAGCTAGTAGAAAAGAAAGAGAGCATAATGGATGCTCACATAAGATCTTCATCTGAAGCTTCTGCCAGTGGTTTAAAACTATATGCATTTGACCCTGCATTATTAATCTGCATATAGCTCAAGAGTCAAGATGGCGTAAAATAGTAGCAATGGATTGCAACACATCAATGGTTCAAAAGTTAAAGCTGAAATATAAAAAATGACAACATTTTTAGGGTTGATAAAATGAACATTATAAAGAAAAAAGTAGGTGACTAAACAAAAGTTGGAGTTTCAACAGCTGGGTTTTAAGGGACGACCATTAGTTAGACAGCTGACTGGGTGATGCCATGCTCTGTCATTCACCACAATGATATCCAGGTCAAACTTCAGTCCTGAATAAATTTACTTGCTCATTTGAGTCTCCTCTTTGGTAAGAGTATCTTCTAAAGATAATTCCCACCATTTATCTATTTTCAACCCAGATGAAGCTTCAAGTTTCACCTATAGTAATATATGAAGCAGGAATACACTAAATGAAATCACTGAAACAGTGTTAAGTGTAAATTAAACTGTGACAAGAGACCGTCGCAGCATTGCCACACATACAATAAGAAAGGAATACATGCAGGGTCCAGTAGAAGGAGAATTAACGTAGAGATGGCAAACTTTATGTTGATCGAATATTGTGAATGCTAGCCCATGAACATAACGTATTTCATTCTGTATACTCATCTAAAAAACTCACATTCTACGTGCCACGGTCGATCACATAATATTTCAGGCAGAGCAATATTCGTGAGTTGTAATATGAGATACAGCAACATAATTTTTCATATCCAGTCAGACCATTACCCAGTGTCCATCCCACCAATGCGGGGTGCGGGGGAGGGGGGTGGGAAAGGGTACAGACATAAGTATCGGTGTAATTTGCATGAAGTGGACGTTGTCAAAGTTGCTTGGTAGCCTGAATTTTATTATCGCACCAAGTTATGTACCCTAAATTACAAATGAAGTACTAGAGGACTTGTAAAAGTTAAGTTTGTCTTGAAGCAACAAGTTCAACTAGTCATGTTCTCGAGGGCACTCCAATCCAGTAAATGATTTAGAATTAAAAGTACCTCTCAGAATGATAACTGTTACTATGTAACTCATATCCAACATAAGAAAACATTTTAATCCAGTAAATGAAAGGATCTGAATCAAGTACCCATATATCAATGTACTTCAGGTTTTGTTGTGCAAATGCAACTAAATTCTTCACATCCTGCCCCTCTCTAACATCACATGTGGTACCCTGTAGAGAGAGTAACTGAATGAGAACCAGGAATATGAAATAACAGCTTATGCCAGCAAAAGAAACTGCAAAGCAACAAGACGGAAAAGAAAGAAAGAAGTATCTTCTCCAACATCTTAAATAAAATAAAAGTCATGAAGGAGGTACCCACACATGCTGCTCCCCAAATTCCCCTCTTAAGCTCTGGAGAGCAGATTCCACCCTTTCAGCTGTATTAAAATCAGTTAAGCAAGTCTAACGTCTGGCCATTTTATTGGTTAGAAGCTAAGAATAGCTTTTCAAGCACAAACATCTATCTTTAATGGGCCACTTTGGAAATGACTATATAAAATCAGCAAGAAATGGAAAACGGCTGACATCATGATGATATTATATGCAAATAAAAAAGGAAAAAAATACATCAACGTATAACATAATAAAGAGAAAAGAGTAGTAATGAAAAATGGAAAAAGTAATTAATGAATCAGTAAGCAAAATCTATAAGTCGTAGGCTACTACAGAAGTGTATTGACACCTCCCTAATAACCAAAATCAGAAGATGTAACTCAAGTATTTATATCCTCCAACAATGTTGACAGAGACTCTAGTATGCTCTTTGCAGCTCCAAAAACTTGACATTCTTTCAGTTGTCTGCTTTCCTCTGCATTGGTTGAGGAATGTCTCAGCCACTCCAACTTGCATTGGAATTAGCAACATCTTTGTTCAGTTGACCTTCTAATAATTAATAACCATTAAGATACGTATCTTAGGTGTTTAGATTAATTAGATACAAGTTTTCCACTTTTACACGTGTTTGGTAAATGATTGTCTCGGAATTAAATTCTTTTGGCAAGGAGAAAAGAGGACCTTTCATACAATTCCAAGTACATACACTCTTCTTGAAATAATACATATTCTTCTACAACACAGCATAAAAGCTCCAACAACTTTTTAACTAGAGAGGATGGAGCTTGTAAAGCTTGTCCATGCTTTGATCTGCCTCTTAACTTTTGCAACTGATTAGAAAGACATGTAACATCTTCAAAGAATATAATAATAATATAGCATACTGTGATCCATCTCTTCGGTGACGGATGGACAAGCGTTCAGATGCTCTCTTCAAAAACATTATGCATAGCACGTGCACTGCTCAGTGATGCCTTCAAAAGAATCATTCTTTTCATGATGGTAAAGGGTAAAATTTTAATAACCTTGCCTATCAAAAGAAAACACTGAAGCCCACCAGTAACTTGTGGCCCCTTTAGATAAATGGGTGTCATCAACCAATGATATAAGGTTATGTTACCTGACTTGACTGCATGTATTGTGTTATGTAGTATTAGTTATGTATTATCCTTATCAACTTCTAAACTGGTATTTGCCTTCGTCACTCTTTAAAGTAATGTTTACAGATTTATGCTAATAGTTCTGATCCAGATATGTGCTTAATGTTTCGGTTTCTTGGAGCTACTACATTTGATTATTTCTGACTAAAGAACATCCCTAATCTCTAGATGCACATGGCACACAAGGCTGTAATCAGCTGTTTATACTGTTAGGTTCTCAACTCTGTTCCTGATGTTTGCTATGCCCTTTTTTGTATAGAAAAAAATTCTGTCTGAAAATCACAATGAGCTCTTAGATGTGATTCCTTTGGAACTTCTGTTATTGGCTGGTATAGCTTTCTTCTGCTAATTATTTCAAGTCAGGGAGTGTAGGAGAAGTCTCGGTTCCTTTCCTTGATCTGTTGTTTTTGTTTTGTTGGTTGGTTATTTGGAGGGATGCCCTCCTTGCTCTGTTTATAAATTTTTATCCTTTGTCTATATAATATTTATATGTATATGTATATATACCTGCAGACTTGCCCAAACTACAAAAGTTAAATTAATACGAAAACCCAAACCCATAACTACAATCAGCATGTTGTGCCTAACACATTCCACATATTTCATCATGTAAACGACAAAATACCCCATTCCACAATTGCGTTATCTATGTCTTGACATATTAGATCAAATCACTAAACTCAGATTGATTCTTACCAACGCTTGGCTCTTCAGCATTTACATATGAACTCACTCTTCTATTAGACTCTCACTTGACGTGTCTATCTATGAAATGGCCCCCAATAAGCCCAGAAACTTGTCTAAATACCAATACTCAATCGGTTATTTTATGCATCAATAGTTAAAAGTCCAACCAAATAAGTAAATCTATTTATTATTTTGATTTTGTGAGATATATCAATATAGAACCAAAAAATTCTAACATAATAAAAAATGAAAGTTATAATAAAAAAGAATTCAACATTAACACAAGAAGTAAGTCCTCACCTGATCTTGAGCAAATCATGACATTGTCACCTGCTTTTAGAAACTCTTTAGCTAGTGCATACCCTATTCCTAAATTTAGGGGGAGAAAAGGAGTAAATGAAGTTGACAAAGCAAAGACAACCAAGTAAAAATAAATGGCAAGATATATTATATGTGTTCATATAACACAAACAAAAAGAGGAGAGACAACCATGTATTAACATAATTTAGTAAGCATTGCTTTTTCATGTATTTTTTAGTTAATTGTAGACTAGTGAAACAAGTTTAGAGACTGAACTACCTTCCAGTGTGTTGACAACTAACTACTCTAAAAGCTTAAGCTATTAGTCAGGGTGTAACTTTAATATTTAAATCCTTCAACAAGCCCCCTCACATGTGGTTTTCTTTTGATCCAACACGTGTTTCAATTTTAATTATCAAGGTGATGGTGAGGCCGTGAGGGTTGAACACATGATCTTGCCTGCTCTAATACCATGTTGACAACCAACTACTCTAAAAGCTTAAGTTATTAGAGAAGGTGTAACTTTAATATTTGAATCCTTCAACACAGTGTAAGTAATTGTTTCTAGAAAAGTAGATTCTGATACACCATAAATCAAAATGCAGTTTGTATGGTGATGATATTGCGTAACTCTTCCTACAGTTATGATCAGAAATGCTTATAGTGAGGCGTAAGAAACCAAGGGGGCACCCAAATATAGTCTTTTACACTTTTCTTTGTTGTCCAAGTCAAAATCAACCTATATAATGTTATTCATGGATTTCGGAAAGAAATAATTGAAATTGCGGATCCTAAATAATTCATATTTATAACCTGAGAAAACAGAAAATTTCACACCCACTAAACATAAAAACTATTGCACAATTCTAAGGATGCTACATTGAATGATAGGAGTAACTAGAAGAGATAAAATAAATAACGAACGTGTGAGGAGAACATTAGATATAGCGCTTATAAATGATAAAATTAGGGAAAGTAGACTTAGGTGGTATGGCCATATTTAACATAGACCCGATGATGCACCTGTTAAAAGGGGAAGGGTTGTTTACTTATAAGGCAAGTGACAAAGATGCCGACCAAAGCTTACTTGGATGAAGTAATTAAAACAATTTTTAAAAAATTAAATTTAAGATAAGACATGGTGTATAATAAAAAAGAATGGAAAAAGAGAATTCATGTGGCCGACCCCATACATATGAGATATAGGCAAGGATAATGATGATGATAATGAACTATTGCATCATTCTGTTTGCCTGAAATTTAATATTCTTAAAAAGAAATTACAAGTAAATCATAGATTTCAAACTTAAGGAGATCTTTCATCCAAATGATTTCCCATTTAACTAGTTGTCCATGTATCATCTATTTAAAGCCGAGACACATTTTGATGTGATGCGATCCAAACTCTTCACAAATTACAAAAATACTCCCAAGGTGTCTGTAAATTATCCAGATACTACTTTCCATTAAGTTCTTTCTCAATTACTCCAGATTCAGTTTTATTATCTTTCTCGATGCCTCAGTTTTCTTAACTGCCAAACAGAGGTATAATATCCAGATCCAATATGAAGCAGGTAACTACACAGGCCAAATTAAGTTCCTTTGTCAAGAACCCTATATCTAATATCTTGCATTGCCCAACACACATATCCAAAGCACTGTGTCTGTGCTTGTATATATATAGTTTTTGTCTAATGCTCAAATTAGAGAACTACCCAGTAACACAAAACACATATCCCAAAATATTTAAACCTAGAACATGAAATGCGTGGACTAACTTAAACTTCATCTGAGTTGCATTAAACACCTTTTAGAGACTCAAAAGAGCAATGAAGGCATACAAACACTAATCCCCATATTGGTTGATTAGAAACTCTAAGAAAGTAAATCCAAACAAAAAAATTAAAAATAGGAATCAGAATTCTGTAATCTATTAAAATTCCGGGAAATTTGTTTCTGTAATCTATCCAACAGCTCAGTTCTCTCGGCAAACAAACGGAGTTTCAAGTGTAAAATGAAGAGAGTGTGTGTGAGTGAGAGAGAGAGAGATGGAACCTTTGGATGAGCCAGTGATCAATACGTTGTAAGGAGGAACCATAGGCTCTGTGCTGACTGAAGAAGAGTCCTCCCCGCTTGTCGGAGGAGGATCTGAAATCAAATTGACACCGGAATCTACCGAATTGAGTGGTTTTTGGCGGGAACCAACGTTCAATAAACCGCAACGGTCGAATTTATGGTGAGACACGCTTGGCTGGGAGAGAGAGGGGAAGAGATTTTCATGGTGTTTGGCGGGAAGAAGAGGGGAGAGCAATGGGGAATGGAAGTGAGAGAAAGCTGTGGATATTGCCATGGACAGGAAGGCAGAGGGAAGCTAAAATCAGTGTCTCATAATTCGCATTGCTTATCTTTTTTATTAGCAACCAACAAATAGTTGTATTTTAGATAAATAAAAAATAAATAAAAATGTATATGTATAAATGGCAATTTTAAAAAGAAAAAATAAATTAACTTTGCTTACCCAAAAAAAAAGGAGTAATCAATTTCCATACTGTATAGTTTAAATTAAAAAAAAAAATTACTAATTTATGTATTCCGTATATGCTTTAGAATTATTGTTCATTTAAATTTTCAAAATTCAAAATAGTGAAGTTTATGGTAGTGAAATTTATCATTAAAATTGGTAAATTTTTAAAGTAAATATGGTGAAATTACGACTTGTTTGTTTCGACGTAAACTATTTGTTTTGAAAAATATTTTTCTTTTTCAGCTAAAATATATTTTTTTTTTATTTTATCGGTATTTGGCAAAGATTTAAGTCGAGATTAAGATTATTTATGGATAAATTATTTTTGTTAAATTTTAATTTTTTTTTCTTTCATAAATATTTTAAAACCAAACACTAAAAAAATAAAAAAGATATTTTCTCAAAAATTAATACTCCTGCTCTAATTGTTCATAATATCTCTCAGTTTTATATTTCTCAGCTCTCCTCTTCTCTTTCCTTCCAAGATTACAAAATTGAATGCCTTGAAATTTCTCATAGCCCTATTTATGGCCACTTATCTCTTGTTGTTAAAGGTGTTTTACAAAATAAATTATTAATGACCCCTTCAAATTTCAATATAATATTATTATAATATTAGCTACAACATATAACTACTATTTTTGTATGTATATATAATATAATATTATTTATTATGAATTAAAGAGAAAATAAAAAAGAATATTAAGATTCCACGTTACCATTTATAACAATTGTAGTTCTTTTCATTTTTTCTTCTTATATTATTTATAAACATGTTCTTAAAAATATATATTAAGAAAGCGTTGTAAATTCCTGGCCCTGCTCGCATATGAGATTAATTAAAATATATATGAGATTAATTAAAATGATGGAGTTTATTCATTTTCGTTAAAGAACGAAAAGTTCTTAGACTGTTAGGATGAAATATGAACAAAATTATGGATAGATGCAATATCCACAAATTTTCCATTAATAAGAAGTTAAGTATTTGAAAATTCATCTGCTAAATTTTTATTTAAAAAAAAAAAAAAAAAAACAATAAGAATTGTTATAATTAATATAAACAGTACAACTATAAATACATACAAGTAAAAAATATGGATTTAGAAATCATGATGTGATACCCTAATTTCGGAACACGGGTTGATCAAGTTCACGCAGAAAATTAGAAGATATCAAAACAATTAAAATATTTCAAATAAGCACAAATTACCAAAAAAAAATAAAAAGAATAAATAACTTGCTGAAGGAAAATCTAATAAATAATAATTCCATTTAACACTAATTAAAAGTAAATAACAATAAATAACAATAATACTTAAAAGTAATGAGTAGATGAATGACAGTCTCCAAGCTGTGGATCCTCAACTTCGGGATTGAAATTTCTAATAATCTGAAAAATAAATCGTGAGTTAAATCCACGAACAAGTTCTCTCTATTAGGCCTCACGCAATACCCTCCAACTCTAGGGACCCAAAGCTATGGGCCTTTGCCTATAACTCATAGCTCATCTCCTTGCTTTGACAGGACAAGTGTGCCGTGGACAGGTGTGAGATACTGACAGGCTACCACACTGGCGAGTTACGGGTGCACAATCCACATCGCCTGAGAAAGGGAAAGGTGAAGTGCTTGTATGTAGGTGTGTCACTCCAATTGGTATGAGACCTTTTGGGGTAAAACCTAATAGCAAAATCGTGCGGGCTCAGGCCTAAAGTGAACAATATCATACCATGTGGTGGAGTGGGTCGTTACAAATGGTATCAGAACTTGACCCAGCCGGAATTGTGCCGACCGGGACGTCAGGTCTCCAAGGGGGGTGGATTGTGATGACCTTGTGGGGGGGTGCGAGACACTGACAGGCTATCACACTGGCGAGTTACGGGTGCACAATTCCACATCGCCTAGAAAAAAGAAATGTGAAGTGCTTATATGTAGGTGTGTCACTCTAATTGATATGAGGTCTTTTGGAGTAAAGTTCAAGAGCAAAATCGTACGGGTTCAGGCCAAAAGCAGATAATATTATATCATGTGGTGGAGTGAGTCATTACATATGATTAAGATGCAGTGTTATTTGTATAATTATATAGATATAAAGGTAATGAAAAAGTCTAAAATGTCACAAAACTAAATGAAATGAAAAAGTCTAAAATGTCCCAAAACTTATTTTGTAACAACTTGTGATAAGCTATTATATCTATAATAGACATAAATGTACTTAAAAATGAACAAATGTGGGCTCACAAATGGGTGATATAAACATATAATTACTCTAAAAGAAATATGCACAATACATAGTTAGAAGGATAAAATAAAAAATAAAAAATAAAAAATTGGATTTTTATTTTGAACATATGTAAGGTCACAAATAGGTGATATATATATATATATATATATATATATATATATATATATATATATATATACATATATATATTTTATTGGGAAGAAACTCCCACACTAAATTTAGTGAAAAAATAAAAGTGCATTAGTCTATTTAAAAAAGTGTCAAAAAGTTAAATTAAAAATAAAATACTCTGTCTATTTCCTTTAAAATGTAATTGAAATTACAAATGTTAGATAAATAACAAAAAAAAATTATGTCGTGCACATATATTTTTGTATTACATCTACCGCTTTAAAAAAAAAAAATTTGAGTTTTACAAATTTTTTGAACAGAGGAAGTATAATTTGTACAATATTACTCCACCACCAAACACGCTAAATTCACTATTCAATCAACTAAACCTATAAACTCTTGAAATTTGTTTGATGGGTATCAAAAAATAATTAAGAAAGAAGTCAACTGTGAAATGAAAAACATAACGAGTGGATTTCATCTTGTTTGTTTTTCAATTATGTTTAATTTGGTTGCGAGAAGACATAACTTGCCGGTTTATTTCACAATTTAGTAGAGTATTTATAGCCCATTTTCACAACTTTAGTTTCCTCTAAAATGTTCTACTCTTTTGTACAATTTCTTAATACTTCTCATATTTATTTGCAAACATATTTTCATATGCCAATTCGAAAAATATATATTCTTGATTTTAACGAGACTTGAATATTTTATGGAATTCTTTAGAGTTTTCCGGCAATAAGTACAACTAATAGTTGTGTGTTGTTCGGGTACATTAAAATCGATGGCATAAAAAGAGTATGTGGATAATTGTCAATACATATCAAAAATGTAAAATTTTTGGTTTAGATTAACGTAAGTAACTTAAAAGATCTCCTCCTCTTATCAAAAAAAAAAAAAAAAAAAATTTTATGTTATTATTATTATTTTTTTAGCCCTCTCTAGTCCAAATCCATAGTTCCCCAATTCCATATCCCATGGTAGTTATAATCTAGTTGCACCTATGATAACTTTTAAAAAAAATTATGTGAGAGAGGGCAATAAATTGTGTGAAAATGATGTGAAAGAGGGCAATAAATTTTTTTAAATTTTTTTTAAGAAAGACAATAGTAACATTTTATTAGTATATAATTAAAAAAACTTAAATTAATTAATATACGTTACTAAAAAGAAAATTTAGGAACAATTGCTCCCTGATATATATGTAGGTCCGTGCTGGCCACAAGCGAATAAACCAATGTCAAAAAGCACAAGAACACTTGGAACAAAATCTTAATACAAGAACCTAGTGGAGGCATACCTTAAGAATAAATTAGAAGAAATTTTTTTACAAGAAATGCAAAGTTTTAAGAGATATATCCACAATAAGAAAAGTGGATAGTGTTTCAAATATTGTGAATATTTGTAGTCTTGACAAAAGTAAAACAAATAAATAAATGAAAATGAAGAAATAAATAACATTTACAATTATTATCATTTTTTGTTTTTATCTCATATGAATAGAATCAGCTGTGCGGCTCAAGGACGGAGCCAGCTTGGGCCCACTCCCCCCGCGCTGGCCCCAAGCTAGCCTATTGAAATTATTATATATATGGGTATAATATTTACAAAATATTACTTTGTGCCCCTCTTGGAATATAATTTTTTGCAAAAATACCCTTGGAAATGAAATTTTTTCACACATATAGATATATAATTTGTAAATTACTTCGTTTTACCCCCCTAAAACTAAATCCTGTCTCTGTCTGGTGCGGGTTGTCATATGTGGGTGTGGATTTTAAATAACAAGATACAAAAAGAACTATTTGATATTTATGATAAGAATAATTTCATAAAAAATTAAATAAGACTTCTCACACACCTCATTTATCTTTTGAGGAGGGGTGGAGAATTGAACCTAGACCAAAGACTCCAAACACCACATGCCTTACCAGCGACTATCACGTTATACCCGCAGTAAATTCCATGACAAAATATAACAATATATGAATATTTATTATTCTTAATATATATATATATATATATATATACATAAATACATATATTTATTACTCCATATCTTAAAAAGTGTATAAAAGTATCTTAAAAAGTATATAATAATGTATAAAAGTTCTAGATATTAAAAAGTATATAATAATGTATAAAAGTTCTAGATATTATGAAGTATTTATACTTATATTTCAGAAGTTATTCTGAAATTAAGAATGTAAGTATGTAAACATTATTGAGTAGTTATGGAATGACAAAAGTGTAGACTTAGAAAGCACAGAGAAATCTCTTATATTGGTGGTATCAAATATTGGAAAAGTTAAGGACACATTGCACACGAGTAGAAGAAGTATTTTGAAATTTAAATATTTTATGTTTTAATTAGAGATGGTTAAGTCACCATTGAAACTCATTCAAGACATGACATGATGATTTTGTAATTATTATTTTTTAAAATAATGGAATTCAATGCAATTTAAAGTATATTATAGGTTAGTAAAAAATATAATATAAAATTTTAGAAAACAAAAACATATTACAGTATATACAACAACAAATTAATGATTTCATTCATAATTATAAATAATTGAACAAGATTATATATATATATATATAACATATTTTATTATTTTTGACATATTCCAGCCATATTCGTCGTTTTTTTTTTGCGACTTATATATATATATATAATCTAATAGCATATTTTATTATTTTTGACATATTCCAGCCATATTCGTCCTTTTTTTTTTTGCGAGTTATTGTTCCGTATTTCTAATATGACCCAGACCAATCTGAAAATGAGTTGGGCTTTAAGATTTTAACCCAAACTGATTTAGAGATAATAAAAGGCCAACCATACCTAAGCATATCAAGCTCAACCATACCTAAGCGTATCAAGTAGTGAGGATTTCCGGGTTTGGGCCTAAGAATGCCCACCCGCACCCACTTCTAAAAACCCTAGTTAAAATCCTGAAGTCCTGGTCTTCAAGGCTTCACAGTTCACACGGTCACACCACGCCCATTCCTCCCTGAGGTGGAATTGGCATAGAACAGTCTACACCAAAACCCTAGTTTTTCTCTCTCTCCTCCGCATTTTATCTCTCTAAAAACCCCACATATCACCGTCTTCTTTCTCTCTCTCTCCAATAAAAACCCTGATTCAAACCGCAAGCAACTCATTGATCCGTCACAATGTCGATGTCGAAGAGTTCGAAGATGCTTCAGTACATCAACTACCGGATGAGAGTCACGATCCAAGACGGTCGTCAACTCGTCGGAAAATTCATGGCCTTCGACCGCCACATGAACCTCGTCCTCGGCGACTGCGAGGAGTTCCGGAAACTACCGCCTGCCAAGGGCAAGAACAACCAGGAGAGAGAAGATCGCCGAACCCTAGGCCTTGTGCTACTCAGGGGTGAAGAGGTGATTTCCATGACCGTCGAGGGCCCTCCCCCTCCCGACGAGTCCCGAGCCAAGTCCGCCGCTTCAGCCGCCACCGGACCTGGCATCGGCCGCGGCGCCGGCCGTGGAATTACCACTGCTCCGCTGGTTCATGCTATTGCTCAGCCTGGCCTCGCCGGGCCGGTTCGCGGTGTCGGAGGACCGGCGCCGGGCATGATGCAGCCTCAGATCTCTCGTCCGCCAATGCCGCAGCTGTCGGCTCCGCCGATGACCTACCCCACACCTCCGGTGATTCGGCCGCCGGGACAGATGCCGGGGTATCCTGGCCAGCCTATGGCTCGGGGCCCACCTCCGCCTGGCCCGCCTCAGTTTGCTCCTAGACCGGCGGGGCCTCCCGGACCGTATCCTGGTCCACCGCCGCAGTTTGGACAGCGACCCATGGTACCGCCTCCGCAGATGATGAGGGGACCTCCACCTCCACAACGCCCTGGGATGCCCGGTCCACCTCGTCCCGGGATGCCGCCTCCACCTGGTGGTGCTATTCCGGTTTATGGTCCGCCCCGTCCGGGCATGCCTCCTCCACCAAACTCTCAGCAACAGCAGCAGAATCAGCAGCAGTAATTTGGTTAGTGGGTTCCAAGTTTTGTTTGCACTCAATATATGTCTCTATCTCAATTACTTGATATTAATTCATGCTAGTAAAGTATTAGAGATAATAGAATAATTCTTATATCCCATTGTGTAATTCAGTTTTTAGTACTTCATTTATTCAATATATATCCTAACATTAGACGTGTGTATTACAAATTGTGCTATTAGGTGCGTTCTTGATGTATTTTTATGTTAATCTTGAATTTTGTTAATGTTTATTTGATTTTGCTACTGTTATTGACTTCCCCAACTTGACTTTCCTTAAGAGTTAAAATCAACCTATTCCTATTAATAAATATTTTATGACATGTTTTATATTCATGCTTAGGGGATACTTCATTACTCTTGTAGAGCATTTAGCTGGAATTGACCCATTTATAAACTATCAATTCAGTGACTAATGAATTTTATGCTGATAGTCTTACCCAGTCCAGTGCTAATTCTTTGGCATCTTTCGTCATTAGTTTATTGTTTTCATGATTGATTACACTACTTTTTGTAAAATATTGCCTTTTGATGCTCTTTGAAAAGTTTTTGAAAGAGTTTTGAGAATAGTTGGTCGTGTCCGTGTTGTGTCGTTTTGATACATAATGTTCGTGTCCATCCTTCACAGAGCTTCTCTAAAATTGGAGTAGACATTCTCATTGAGAAGGATTTGGAGTTTGGAAGTTGGAAGTAATTAGGATGCACAAGGACATGAATTTAAAAGAATTCCATTAGAAATGCTCCAAAAATCATATGTAAATGTTGGGAACTAGAACGGTAGAAGAAGTTGGCATTTTAAGGTAACTAAGACCATCTCCAATGCAAAATGCTATTTTTGCATGCCAAAGCTATATTTGAGAGGTGTTACAGTCAGAATGTTATATTTTAGTAATTATGCTCCAATGGTGCATTTTATCCAAAATGCTATTTTTTTGACACAACTACCATTCCTACCATTTTTTTTTTTTTCATATTTAATTTTTTGCATTTTATCCAAAATACTATTTTTTTTTTCCCTCAACAACCAAACAGATCATTTTTTATTATGAATCCTACAATATGGCTGAAATGCGTAATTGTTTTCTCTTTGAATTGAAAATTCATCTGGAATAAACAATTTCTTATCAAATCAGTTACCTGCCCGTTTCCTACTATCGCGAATCGAATTGAATCCAAGGAAGTGCCTGTTATGATATTGACCTCTGAGAAAAGGGTTACGTTTTGCTGAAAAAGTAGTGAATCTGAAATGGGATTCTAGAGAAAGAAATATCATAATTCTGAATCAGAAAATATCATTAATTATTAATCATTATCAATCAAGAAAGAGGGAAACCAACAACACAACCAATCACTTTCACTGCAAACAAAAACACAATCCCTAATTTGAATGAACACAATCCCCCTCTTGCTTGTGTCCACAACTCTATAAACAAGTAATGACACATCACTCAAAAATAATAAATCAACTAATTTATTACAAATCTATAATAAATCAATCATCCTCATGCAACCAGCAAAAGTATGTTGATCCAATTAGATTATGCCATCGAAATTTGGGAATTTTGTATCTTAATTGTGGATACAGAGTAAAAGAGATGAACAACTATATATATATATATATATATATATATATGCGTGTGTATATATAGAATTTTAAGGTTATATATAGAGAGAGATGACAATAGAAATTGGAAAGTAAATGGGGAAGTGGGTTTTGCACAAATTAAGATAAACATACCAAGGATCAGATTCTAAGGCGACGTGAAGCGCTTGATTGATAAACATACCGAGGATCAAATTCCAAGTTTCTGCCGCACATTAGGCGTCTTGGCGGTGAGAGGTGGTGCACCAGAGCCGGAATCACAGCTGTGTGTACTTTCTGTCTCTAGATGATGAGGGGGAGAAGAGAGAGGCGGGGGAGAGAATGAAACCCTACAACAATAGTCGATTTGGCAGCTACTATAGTTTGTGTTATATTTGGCACAAGATTTGATAAAGCTATATTTTGATAGGCCATTTGACATGCCATTGGAGAGCCTATGTTAAACCCACCTGTTATATTTTGAAATTGGTAGCCCATTTGGCAGCCCATTGGAGTTGCTCTAAGAGCATCTCCAATGGCCTCTCGAATGGGCTATCAAACTCAAAATATAGCAGGTGGATGAAAATAAGGCACTCGAATGAGCTCTCAAAGTACTTCTCATATTTTGAGATTGTCAAAAGTATTGTCAAATAAAACAGCTCCCAAATGGCCTATCAAACTATAGCAAGTGGGTGAAAATAAGGCACTCGCTCTTTCAAAAGACCTCTCATATTTTGAAATTGTTAAAAGTTGGTAAAATGAAAATAAGGCACTCCAATGGGCTCTCAAAATATGGAATGGTTGTTGTGTCAAAAAATAGCATTTCGGATGAAATGCACCATTGGAGCATAATTGCAAAAATATAGCATTTTGACACTGTAGTTACTTTCAAAATATAGATTTGGCATGGAAATATAGCATTTTGCATTGTACTTATAAAATATATATATATAGCATTTTGCATTGGAGATGCTCTAAGAACTTGGGTTTTGGCTAATTGAAAATAGAAATTTGGATTTTTGCAGCAAGGATCCTTTTTTGGTGTTCCCTATAATGAGGTGTGGTTGATAATTTAATATTTTCTTCCTCTTTTTGGGGCTGGGACTGACAAAGTAATTGATCACTGATAAGACGTTACATAGACTCCCTTTACGTGCCAGTTTTGATACGACATGACATGCATATGTGTTTAATTTGTGTCCCACAACGCAACTCAAATTGAACACTTCAATCATTAATGATATTTTTTGTACTACTTTTTTCCTGTAAAGCATTTACATGCAATGATTGAAAAAATGTATAAACTCAAGTTTGATAGAAGAGAAGATTTTCCTACTATGTGATAGATAGGAACCACTTTTTCCAGCGCATGCCATTTGATTAAATTCTTGAAGAATGACAACATTGGATAATAAAATGCATATATAGCACATTATATAAAATTTTACTTTTTGATAAGTAAAATTGTATAAAAGCACTCAAAAATGGAGTGCATCCCAAGAGAAATACAAAAGGCCAAATAGTATATATTGTATATATAACATGTCTAGTCTAACTTTTGGTCCTAAGATGGATTAGGGGAGGTCCAACACTTGCACACACTTTCACCCAATAGTACTTGCTCTATGTATATGTTACATGAACTTTGTATGTGTGTTGTGTACCGGTATGTCGTATCCATCTGTCGGACGTGCCAAATATCTAAATAGAAGGACACATGGACACTATATAATATTAATTTTATTTATTTATTTTATTTTCTAGAATAAAGTAATGTTTTTATATAGTATAGTATTCAATATCGGCATTTAACTCACTTTAAAGTAATAATATAATATACTTGATTGATTGGATATATTTTTTGAGTACATGTCGAACCAAAAGTGTCGGACACATATTCATACCCATATCTCAACAATATGTGTCTGACAAGGGTACTTCACTACTTTTGGAGAGTCCATCTAAACATAGAGTATATAAGTATGTAACTACTATTTAGCTAGTCGGAGTATTTTATTTCATTACTTTTAACAGTGTTCATCAATCCTGATAAAAAGTAGAAAAGCTTTATCATATCCCCCTATTTCTGATCTAGAATATGATTTTTAATGTTTTTGTAATGTATTGCCTCTATATTACTTTGTAAATCATTATTTGTGGAAATTCTTCTGTGCATCTAATGCTTTCCGTTGTCCCACACCCCATTTTTTTTCCGCCCCCCTCAAGAAATGTATTAGATATATATCAGAGGGTACTTATACGGTTGACCATTGCTTGTAGTTCAGTAATCATGGAAGGCAGTTCGTTTGTTGAAAATTCCACTCCATATGAGCTATAACACAATCTCGTTTTGTGGCAGGGCTATTTTTCAGTTTGGTGGTACTGTGAAGATAATCAACCGAACCCGAAATCCTGTTTTGTTAGGCTGCTTCTACATCTAAGTCTGATTTGTTAATGGTTTGTATCATGGGAAGTTTTCTCCTTCATTGGGCTACTTTTTTTTTTTTTTTTTTTTTTTTTTTTTTTTTTTTTTTCTGATATCTATTTTAGTGTAGTATAACCGTTAGTGTGTATCTTGGCAGAGCAAATTATCCTCAATTGATTTTAAATGCAACATACTTTTCTCGAGTATATATGTGGGTCTCTGTCTCTCTACGTGCGCGCGCACACTGATACATGAATGGTTTGACTGGTTGTGCTGTAGTAATTGCTCAAAATCCTTCTCTAGAAAGTTCTGAGATGATTTATGTTTCTTACCTTGAAGCCAGAGTTGGTATGTAGGGATGAGTTATTTATTTTTTCGAAAGTTAAAACAAACACACTCATTATATATATTATGCCTTCATTGAGGCTTGAACACTCACCTCCCCATTCAGGGAGGAGAGCTTATGAGCTAGTGCCCATTGGTAATGATTTATTATTATCTCATTGAAATGACGACAGTTCATAAAGCTTGCAGATCTTCAGAAATTTTCATTTGAACATCTGGAAATCAGCCAATTGTGTGTGTGTGTGTGGGGTTTTACAGGAATAGCTGTCGTGAGTACAGTGTTTCTTCGTGTTTGTTTTCACATCCATCAGTTATTTATGTCCGCTTCGGACTTGCACGGGCAGCGCCACTCTTAAATATTTGGAACTTAGTTTCTGAACATGAATGAATGTAGGCTATCAATTTGACAATCTAAAAACGTATGGGATGGTAACCAAGCCAACTTGCTCACAAATGATACGTAGACATGAAGGACCTTGAATTGCAGTTTATTGAAAATCAACAAATCCAAAATTCACAGTTTTTTCTTTGGTTAGGATTACATAATTTTAATCTTCAAAACTAAAACTTTTTGCCAGAAAATTAGTCGGGTAAAAGATTCAAATCCAAAAAATTTGGGTTTTAAATTCAAAATTGCAATCAATTATTTTTCTTAAAGTTTTTTATCTCAATGATTTGGTAATAAAATTTCATCGTCATCGTCAATGTAATCAAATTTACTTTAGAAAAAAAAGAAAAAAGAAAGAGATGCTTGGAATGTATATAATAAATAGGATATCATTTTATATAGAAAAAAAACTAAAACTTTTTGCCAGAAAATTAGTCCAGTCAAAGATTCAAATCCAAAAAATTTGGGTTTTAAATTCAAAATTGCAATCAATTGTTTTTGTTAAATTTTTTTATCTCAATGATTTGGTAATAAAATTTCATCATCATCGTCATCATCAATGTAATCAAATTTACGTTAGAAAAAAAAGAAAAAAGAAGAGATGCTTGGAATGCATATAATAAATAGGATATCATTTTATATAGAAAAATTGCCTGAAAAAACCAATCTCACTATTTACATGTACAAATAATCAAACTTTAGGAACATTAAATACTAGTAGTTTTTAAGAAACTAAAACAATATAATAAAGTTACAATAACTACAATGCCAGCTAAGTAATGTTAGTGCACTCAAAGAGCTTGCTACTCTCCTCCCGCATTCTGCAAAAATAAACACCTAACAAAGATGCCATTTTGTTATCTGTAAAGTCAAGTTTCTAATTCTGGAACTATGTATAATTTACAAAACTTGTATACATCTCCCATTATAATGCATAATGACCATACACCAGCTGAGGACAAGTAATGTCTTTCAATGTTCTTGATTTTCCCTTCGCCCAAAAATTAGGAGAAAATCGAATTGATAAAGAATCACAATCATCCGAGCTCCGTCAACACTCATAGAATTCAATATCAACGGCCAAAAGCAGTGAATGCTGCAAGTTACCTGAATGGGCCAAAAGAAAAAGATATCCATGGATAACAGCAGTCAGTCCATTCTTTGGCTAAAAGAAAAAGACATCCATGGATAACATCAGTGACCATAGTGATCTACTATCTTCCATGCTTCCCTGCAATTTTTGGCATGTCATCAGCGATGTCAGGTGTGTAACTATATCCAAGAATTATCAGCTTTTGCTCATTCTAACTTCAATAATGCATTGGCATTGCTTCTGTTCAAAGAGCTTTGGAACCATGAGTCATCAGCGGCGCTTTGATCTTCTGCGTTTACCAAGAAGTTTTAGCATGTTGTCAGTGACATCAGGTGTGGAATTATCATCTTCATCCCGGCTGTTGTCAGAAGTGTGGGTCAGCCAGGCCAGTGCCTCTATAGCAGCATCCCTCTCTGCAAGCTGTTTATTTTTCTTGGGCTTCCCCACAAATTGCATTCCCTTGAACTCTGCCAGTGCTCTGAATTCGTTTGTCTTGAGATGCTTTGTTTTGTATTTCGGAGGGGAATGTCCTGCCCTCATCAACAGAGTTTGCAGCAAGCTCTTAGGGTTTGTTCCATCTTTTGTAAATCTATCATTGTTGCTAGACTCTTTAGGTTTTTTACTTTCACGACCAAATACAAATCTCCCTTCACATTGATCTCCAGATACAAGCTCCTGAACGGCAAGCATGAGGTACTTACCTTCCTTGTGGATATCGATACTAGGATCCTGAAG